TCAGCCTTCCTGCTCCTATGATGCTGCTTGGCCTGCTGTGTTCATCCAGCTCTACACCTTGTTATCTCAGGTTTGTATTAAGTCTTTTTCAGTTGGGACAGCTTCCAGCAATCAGGGAGGAGAAGTTCTTCAGGTCTTTAATTATATCTGCCATGGGGCTTTATTATGGATACACCTCCTGTGGCCGACACGTGCTGGCGTGAGAGTCAAACCTGAACTTCTGGTCTAGAGATTGGAATGCTACCTTTTGTGACCCATGATCACCTAAATGAACATGAAAAGCGTAGCAGAGATCTGGGAGCAGATGTACATAAATCATTGAAGGTGGTAGAACAGATTGGGAGAGTGGTTAAAGAATGAAGCATCCTAGGCTTTGTTAAGGGGAATAGAGTAGAAGAACAAGGAATTTATGTTATGCAGAGAGTGCAGAAAAGATTCATAACAATAAATCAGAGATGAATCATTACAGCTACCTAGATAGACTGGAGAAGTTGGGACTGTTTTCTTTGAAGAGATGGTTGAGAGAAGATTTGATAGATATATTCAAAATCATGAGGGGATTGACCAGAGTAGTTGGGAAAAATCATTCCTACCGGTGGTAGGATTGAGCTCAAGAGGACACAGGGCTAAGGAAATTGGCAAAATAAGCAATGGAAAAATGAGGAGAAGCTTTTTCGTCTAGCATGTAAATAGGGTTTGGAAATGCATTGCCTGAGAATGTGATGGAGGCAGGTTCAATCAAGGAAATTAAGAGAAGATTGGAATATTATCTGAAAAGGATGAATATGTAGGGCTATGGGGAGAAGGATCAAGAATGCCACTAGATGCACTGCTCATTCGGAAAGCAGGCACAGACACGATAGGCCAAATGGTCTCCTTCTGTATTTAATGAAGCTGTGGTTCAAAGATAAAACCAGACATAATGGCCATGCCCTCCCCATGGTTTCATACTTTGCCAGGACTCAAAGTGGAATGATGAAGATTGGACTTCAGCTGAGTAGCCTGATGAATTGTACCTTAACAAGAATCAGGACTTTCAGCAGTAAAGCCGAGAAAACAGAACAATTGCTTTTAAGCAGATGGTGATATTTCTCAATGTGTTTACCCAAGTTCAGTAATTCAGCACCAAATAATAATGATATTTATTCATGGTTTTATTTGAGTCTATAATTAAGACCACAGATACTTACTAATGGATTTACCTGAGTTATGCAACAGTTAGACGAATAACACTATGATGCTGCTGTATCGATAAGTTGCATTGTTTGAATACTAATTGGCACTGTGTCACTGTAGCCACCCTTAGATTGCATTTGGCCATGTACATCAATCATCTGTGTCAGAAAAAAAAAAACAGTAAGAGTATAGGAACTCTGGTTAATGTAACATTGCACTGTCAAAACTTACCATCTGTAGCTTTCATTCTAAATTGTTTTCTGAATACTGCACTCTTTCACTTTAGCTTGTTCACAATTCAAGCTTTTTTTAAATACAAAGGAACAGGTCTAACTTATGACTTCTTCATTAAGTCAATTTGTTGACAGCTCATTTACCACTTTCTGCAGTAAAGGTTGGGCAGAAATTGAGACACCAGGCTCACTCTACATCCTATATCATTTTTGAGGTACAAAAATTGATCTTAGTACCTCCTGCCTGAGCATAACAAAATCTAAGATCATCCTCCAGTGACCCTTCCTGAACTATATGATATCAGTTTAAGTGTGGGATGTTCTCTGAGCTGAACAGACATACTAATTTTCTGAACTCACACATGAAGCCACTTAGATAGTACTGGAAGTGTACCCCAACATGAGTCACTACCTTAAGGAGAGGAAGGGAAGAAGTCAAGGAGGAAGTCTTGTTTTAATTATAAATCTGGTGGTTTGTACTATCACAGCTAGGTGGAGCCATTACAATATTTCAGGATCAGAAAGGAGGCTATTCAAGAATTCTCCCATGCACTGGTTGCATACTCCATGTCTGAAAATCTAGAGGTATGGTGTTAATTACAGAACCTTTCACTTGCTTTGGCATCTTTGACACATGAATTGTAGGTGCGAACAAAGCCCCAAGGTGGAGGGATTCTGTGTTTGTTGCTCTTCCTCACAAACTCTCAGCTGTTCTTAATATTGCATGTCATGATCTCCCTCTGGCCCCAACACTAAAAGCCATGCCTTCAGCTGCCTTGGACCCACATTCTCAAATTACTAAGCCTCTGACACTTCCACCCTCCGTTTTGAAATGTCCTTAAAGCACATCTCCTTGGTCAACCTTTAGGTGACTTTTTCTAATAACTTTTTTCAGTTTAGCTTTTAATTTTTCTTCACTCCTCTGTGAAGCCACTTGGGATGTTCTGCTACATTCAAATGGTGGTGCTTGGACCATTTGTATTGTAACAAGTGCTCACTATAGAGAGCATAAATTGGTTTGTTGACAGGACTTTAAACTAACAAATGAGGAAGGTAAGGATTCAACCAAATGTATTACTAAACTAAAGATAAGAAAAATTGAGACAAGAGCAAAGAACAGGATATAAAAAGAGATAAAAATCAGAGAATGGAAAAGGTCATGTGAAGTAATAAGTACATGACACACATAAAACTGGTAATGAAAAATAACCTCATTATATTTACTGCAAAGCAGCATAACAGTGACAAGGGCAACTGGAGTCAATAATTAAAAGTGAAGAAGTACTGTTGGTATAATAAGGATACTGGAAACAAAGCTGTAGACAGGACCGGATTTGAAGTTAAATATTACAGACTTTAATGCATTTTGAAAGAGAATAAAGGAGTGGGTTGCTATACTAATCAAATACAATGGCAGAAGCAAGACATGGCATAACTAAGAAAGAGTCCGAAACAGAATCTATATAGGTTAAGACAAAGGAAGGAATCAGCCATACAATACAGAGCACAGAATGGCAGGAATTAACTGGAAAGTAAAATAGATAGGTATATATGAAATGAATAGAACAAATTGAATCATAGGGGATTTAACTGTACACAAGTAAACTGGCAAGGAGACGAAGATCTGAAGGAAATCAGATTTTTACATTTTGTACAAGTCTCTGATGCACTTATAAAATTGGGACAAGTGAAGAAGCAAGTGTGAAAGGACATGCAGGGAGGAAAAAATCAAAACTGAACTCTTTGGATAATGATTGAGAACAACATAGACAGTGCTAAAACTGAACTAATAGAAGAATATCTTATATTTATGTAGTACTTTTAACATAATGATCCATCCCAAGGTGCTTCTCAAAAGCATTATAATAAAAAGTTTGACATCAAGTCACATAAGGAGATATTAGAGGCCAAGAGGTGTAATTACAGGTGGCGAGGTATAGAGAGGAACTTCCAAACAACAGAGTCCAGGCAAGTGAATGTGTAGCTACAAACAGTGATGTGATTATAACTGGAAATTCTCAATAAACCATAACTAGATGAGTGCAGATATCTCGGATGGTTTTGGAACTGTAGATGTGCTAATTGAGATGATGCAAATGATTTGAAAACAGATGAGAATTTTAAAGTCAAAAAAATTGCTCGACTGGGAACCAATGGCGGTCACAGGATTGACTGGTGAATGAGACTTGGAACAAGTTAAGACACGGGCAGAGTTTTGGATGTCTTCAAGTTTGCAGACAATAGAATGTGGGAGAGCAGCTAACTGCGAACAGACTGATTTGATCTCAGGGGAGAGTAATGAAGTCACCATTTTAATCAGAAATGTACTTCCAACTGCATATTCATGCCAGCAGTAAGCACATATTTCCACCTCCAACAACATTGCTTGATTTCATGCTTTTCTCTGCTCATGTGTTATTGAAATCCTCATTCATGTCTTTTCCTTCTAGACAACTATTTCAATGCAGTCTCCCTCTATCTATCTGTGCAATCTCTTCCAGCTCAAAGTACTCCAGAACACCTATAGTTGGATTTGGAACAGGAACCAGAAACAATTCTCCTCCATATTTAATTAGAGGAAATTTCTGCTTATAATTTTAAAGCGAAAGGCAAGAGGTTTGGAGGGGATTTGAGGAAAAATATTTTCACCCAGAGGGTGGCAGGGATCTGGAATACACTTGAAAGAGCAGTTGAGCCTGGAAACCTCAACCTTTAAAAAATTACTTGGATGAGCACTTGAAGTGTCATAACACTCAAGGCTATGGACCCAGTCTTGCAGACAAGTCAAGAAGGAATAGTCTGGGAAAATGTCAGACATGTAAATATCAAAAAGGACAAGATAAGGATATAACGACTAAGGGCTGAGCAAGAATACCATGTTAGAAACACTTACAGAGCTCATTCGATCCCCGAACATATCTCCGGCCCCCATGTGTGATGTGTGAACAAAATTTGTTGGCTCTCCTATCATACTCCTGTCTATCCGCCTCCGTCTTTTCTGTCAAAACAGATGTCAAGATCAGGAGTGAGGTCCAGCACTACTTTAATATATAGATATGACACTGGTAAAACAATCAAGTTGCATAGATTACCATGAATATTTAGCAGGTTAATTAATGCAATCAAGCACTAAAAATGCTCTCATGATTTAAGATCTATCCTACCTAAATATGATTACTATATAATCAGTCCAGTCTGTGTAGAAAATATTTTAAACAGAACGAGCTACTGGCTTTAGAAATAGAAGAAGTGTCGGTAGGCATTTTCCAAAATTCTGTATATTCTGGAATAGTTCTTACAGTTTGGAAGATTACAATGCAACCCCACTATTTAAGGTAGAAGGGAGAGAGAAAATGGATCACTGCTGACCTGTTAGCCTGACATCAGTAGTAGGAGAAATGTAGAATCTATTATAAAAGATGTGACAAACTTGACACTTGAAAAATAATGGTATAACTAAACAGTATCAACATGGATCTAAGAAAGGAAAATCAGGCTTTAAAAACCTGTTCGTTTTTTTGAGGACATAACTAGCAGAACAGAGAAGGGTGAACCAATGGACGAAATGAATTTGGATTTTCATATGATTTTCATTATGGTTCCACGAAGGTTAGTAAGCAAAATCATACCACATGAAATTAGTAGGAATATGCTGGCATGGATTCAGAACTGGTTAACGGACTTAGAACAGACATTAGGAATAAACAGCTCCTAACCACAGATCAGCAGGATAGGAATGGTATGGTCCCACAGCAGTGATCAATGCTCGAGTCCAGCTATTCACAATCTATTTCAATAATCTGGATGTGGGAACCAAGTTTGCTGATCACACAAAACTAGGAAGAAATGAGAGTTGTAAGGAGGATCCAAAGAAGTTTCTGGGGATTCAGATAGGCTAAGTGAGCGGGCACAAAAACTGTGAACAAAATACAATGTCAAAAATGTGAAGTTATCCACCTTGGCAAGAGAAACAGAATATAGAGTATTTCTCATATGAGAGAGATTGGGAAGTGTCCATGTCCAAAGAGACCTGGATGCTCTTGTTCCTAAATACCTGAAAGCTAACACACAAATTGAAATGGTATGCTGGCCTTTATTGCAAGAGGATTTGAGTAAAGGAGTAAAGAAGTCATGCTGTAATTGTATACAGCCCTGATGAGTCAGAATCTGAAATACTGTGCAGAGTTTTGGTCATCTCACCCAAGGAACAATACATCATATAAGGAGTGCAACAAAGCCTCACCAGATATATCTCTGGGATGGCAATATTGTCTTTTAACAAGAGACTAAGGAGACTGAGCTCATATCCTCCAGAGTTTAGAAATATGGAAAGTGGTCTCATTGAAGCATACAAAATTCTTACAGGGCTCAACAGGGAATTTGCAGGATGGATGTCTCCCCTGGCTGGAGAGGTCTAAAACCAGAGGATAGAGTCTCAGAATAAGAGGTAGATGAAGAGGAATTTCTTTACCTAGAGGGTAGCAAATCTTTGGAATTCTCTATGAAGGATGGCTGTGGAGGCTCAGTCTTGGAGTATATTTTTAGATAGTAACAATATCACAGGTTAACGGAATAAGAAAATGGCATCAAGATAGAAGATCAATCATGAACTAGTCGGAATGTGAAGCAGGTTTAAAGGGCTAAGTGAGTGACTTCTGCTCATATTTCTTACATTCCTAAATAAGCATAACAGACATTATATGCATTATAAATAGTTAGTGTTTTAATATCCCTCACCATATCCCTAAAAAAGACATAACTGTGAATATCAAAGAACATCCTAGATTACAAAGCCAAGAGTGTAAGTTCCATTCTAATTTCTGCCCCTTCTCTTTTGTGAGTATAGAACATTCTACTGAAATCTATCAATATGGCTCTATGCTATGATAAATTCAGTAAACAGTTAGTATATAGGATTCATTTATTTAAGAAATACACTTACTGGCTGTGGTTGTTCTGCAATACAGCAGTTAAAACATAACCAAAATTCACTCATTGTCACAAACTGTTTTGCTGTGTTTGATAAATCCAAGATCTCTTTGGCTATGTTAATAGGTCCTAAAGAAATCTGGGCAGGTGATGTGAATGTTGCAGAACACTCAAGTACTTGTGCCGTCAATTTCACGTTCGGTAATTTCTTGGTTACCAGTATTCCAACAGCAATTGTTTCTCCTACCGATATTATTGGTGTGTATTGCCAATATTGCTGTAATCAAGCTGCAGAAACAAAATAAATGCTTGCATTAGGGATATTTTATGTAGTTTTAGTTTTGTATTTTAGTCTCATATAATCAAGCAACCAAAACCACACAGTTTCTACGTTAACTTTAAAACAGGAAATGTCAAGTAGTGACATTTATGTAAAGATATCAAGTAGTGCAGCAAAGTCCTAACTTCAATCTTAATTGTGCTCAGCTAGCTAATGCGAGACACCAAAGCATATGGGAAGTTATAGTTGGTCTTGCTGTCTGTGAAACTGGAAGGATGAAAATATCGTTTGACTCCTGCTTAGTAATGAATGATCCTGCTAGGATGCAGGTGTGTGACAGTGGTTCAGTTCTGAAGTTCCCACTCTACAGAATCAGTGGCTGGGAACATTATTTAAAATGAATACAAGCAGTGCCCATGGAACTCAAACATCAGGGAAAGTAAATTTTAAAGAACTTGTATTTTTGTGAGAACACAGAGGGAACCAAACATCAGTGAAAACTGGTGCAGAAGAATTAGTCTGTAATGGGGAACTTATACCTTAATCAAAGTAAACATCCACTGGAACACACACTCCAGTGAGAGCCAACACAGAGAACCCGAACCCCATTGAGAACCGGCAGACAGAAACCCAACTCTTGGGACAGTCAGTATCGAGGTTCCCGACCTCCAGTGACAGTCATTTTCCAGGAAACAAAATTTTCAGTAACAGTCAGCACATGTGGAACTAAATATGAGTGAAAACATAGGAAACAAATCCGCAGTTCTTGGGAAGCAAATCCCTGAGAGAGTCACTCCTTTAGGAGAGAAGAAAGTAACAGTAAAAGAAAATCTAAATAATAAAATCAACAGTGAATAATTAGTAAATAGTAGTCTTACTTGTGAATTCTATCAAATTTCTCTGAACAGCATCATTGTCAGAAAAATAAACCATGTAAGCTTCCACCCATGCATCTCACTTGCAGACTCTCTACAGCAATATCCTAACTTAACTAGGCAGCACAGCTTACAGTTCCAAATGGACGTTGTCCCTCTGACTGTCGGACAGGACTCTGGAGAGCTTCTTGGTAAATGGATTTTTATCTGATTGCAAAATCCATGGGAAGCTGTATTTTCCACAGGGAAATGTTTTCGTAACATGCCCCATGATTCAGACATTCACAGTATGTGTCAGTGTCTCTACAAAGTACTCTTTATCCAGTTAGTCAGACATTTGTGGTAAATGCTGGAATATTGAAAACCATATCTTCTGTAAAAGAACTTTTAATAGTTGGACCGTACAGTTCACAATATTAAACAATGTTGAACTCCAGAACACATTGATTGCAGATATTTCTTTTGTAATTTATTTGTAACACTAAACAAAGCTAGTTCTTTTGCTGAATCACACCCATCAAGTCAGCTGCTCCAGCAAATTAGAGTAAGATCTTAATAAAATTTGAGACTCCCTCATTCTGAAGTTGTGAGCAAACATTTCTCGTCTGTTAGATCATGACCAGATTATTGGGTCATTTCACACTGACAAGACTGCATTCTGGAAAACCAAATGAAAACTAAAGTTGGGAATTTTCAGTTTTTAAAAAACTATTTGCTTTGTGATAAAAATAGACAAAAACACAGAAAATAGGAATGGCAATAGGTCATTCAGCCCTTCGAGCCTGCTCCACCATTTAATATGATCATGGCTGATCATCCTACTCAGTTCCCTGTTCCCACTTTCACCCAATAGCCTTTGATCCCTTTAGGCATAAGAACTATAACTAACTCCTTCTTGAAAACACTACATAACAACATATGCAATTTTTAAAAACACTTTTTCATCAATTTTCTCAAATTAAAGCAATGGATCTTATTGGGTTACTGTCGCACAGTGACAGTCACACCTCTTTACTGGGATAATACTTTCCAAGGACATTCTTTACCAAGATTTGGAACCTTTTTATTGTGATGCTGTCCCTGAAGAACAGTCACTCTTCCTCAAAGCAACAAGAACAACTGGTCAGTGATAATGATCAGGTAATGAAACCTTGCTTCTATTTTCCTTTTGTAACTGATGAAAGATGTGTTCAGTATAATGTCCTTATTGCTGTCATGCTAGCGATCAGTTAACCCAACAGACTGTGAAAGGAGATAACAAGGTGTAGAGCTGGATGAACACAGCAGGCCAAGCAGCATCAGAAGAGCAGGAAAGCTGACGTTTCGGGCCTAGACCCTTCTTCAGAAAATGTTATCTCAGATTCTCCAGCATCTGCAGTTCCTACTATCTCTGAAACGACTGTGAAAGGAACTTAGCAGTTTTCCACATGACTTGGGGACTCACTAGATAAACTCACTGAATCATAGGGAAAGTTCTGGAAATTTCTAGTGTTGCACATACGTATGTGGAAACATCTCTGCATTCATAAATGGCTGACAGAGTAGAAAGCACAGGGACTGCAATATTTGCACTGTAGGCCAAGTTGAAATCAATACTCTGTTTATAACATGGGCTCGTCAATGACAGTTATTCCGTTTGTAAGATTTTCCTCCAGAAATGCCATCCGAGGAATTGAAACAAAAAGTTGACTGTCAATACCTGAATTAAAAGTGGGTCATTTTGAATGAGACCCTCAATGCAATTCAATTTTCTACTTATGTAAATTTCTGTTACCATGGAGATGAGTATTGTGCACAAAATGAACTGTAATTTTGAGATAAGTTCTTTTAAAACTACAGGAAATCTAAAATTAAAACAAAAAACACTGGAAGCAGAAGATAATTCCACCAGCAACGTGTCTCCTTGCTTTTCAGATGTGTACAGGCTTGTACTTCTGATATTTGTTCCAAATTCAGACTACTTTATATCATTAAATTGAGCAAGGCTTTGCTGATTCCAATGTAGGCAAAGCATCCTCAATACCTTCTCTGATCCTGACACAGGTAGGATATCTTCAGTGACACAAAGTCACTCAAAGCATAACCCGATCCAATTTTAGCCATAGATTTGATTCCCCTCCACACAGAAGCAATCTCAAACTTATTATTGCAGAGCTTGGCATGATGGACCATAATACAGCTCAGTTTTGAGAAACTTGTAAATTTCCATTATACAATACCACACTGATCAGACACAGCAATAAGGTTAATTAATTAATCCAAGATCTCTGCAAGTCACCAATCTATTTTTAAAAGCTTTATGTGTTGTTAGCCACTTCAATGGCTCAGCCAATCTAGACAATGAGGAATTAAACCTTAAAGACCCGGAGTCAGTTTACCTCATCTGAAGAAATTACAGAGTCTTTACAATTTGTCTCTGCAGAATTGGAAAGAAAGGGGAGGGAAAAGTAGCCATGGTTCAATCACACTCAGAATCACTGGATTATGACAATGCAGGTGGTGGTAAATCAGCCTATGAAGTTCGCATCACTTCTCCAAATGAGCATTTCATTTAGTGCCATTTTCTTGCCCATAATCCTGAACATTGTTCTTTTGCAGTTAACAGTCTAATTCCTTTTCAAAGTATCCAATGAACCTGCCTCCAGCACACTCACAGGCAGTACATTTCAGAAGCAAAAACAGAAATTGCTGGAGAAACTCAACAGCTCTGGCAGGATCTGTGGTGAGAAAACAGTGTTAATGTTTCAAGTCCGGTGATCCTTCTTCAGAACTGATTGTAGCTAGGAAAATGTTGGTATATATGCTGAAGATGAAGTGGGGAATAGGCAAGGAGTAAACAATAGGTGGAGATGGAGCTCAGAAAGAGAGAAAACAGTTGTTGGGCAGTTGGGTAATACTCAGCCTGGGAGAATCAATAGCTGCCGCTGGGGTCCATAAGTAGCTGACAATGGATGGTTGTGGTAACCCATGTGATGACAAGGCCAGCTGTGTGGGATTTGGGAGAAGGACATGGAAGAATGTGCTCAGGCCCCAAGCAGAAAATGAGATGCTGTTCTTCCAGCTTATACTGAGCTTTGCTGAAGCCCTGCTGCAAGCCTGAGTCAGGGATGTTGGCCAGGGATCACGGTGCTTTGAAGCAGCAAGCAACAGTAAGTTCAGGGTCATTTTTGTGGACAGAACATAGATATTCTGAAAAGTGGTCACTCAGACTGTCCCCAAGGCAGAGCCCATAATGTGAGTGGTGAATACAGTAGACTAAATTGAGTGAAGAGCAGGTAAATTGCTGCTTCATCTAGAAGGTGTGTCTGGGACCTTGGATACTGAGGTCAGAAGAAGTAAACAGGCAGGTGTTAAACTTTCTGCAATTTCATCAGAAGGTGCTATGGGGGTGTGAGGAGTCATTGAGAGTGGAGCAGGAGTGGACGAAGGTGTCCTGGAGGGAACAATCCCTGCAGAAGGCTGACAAGGGAGGAGAGGGAAGGGAACATGTGTCTAGTGGTGGCATCCTGTTGGAGGCAGAGGAAATGGAGGCTAATGGTCCTTAGGATGTGGATGCTGGTGGGGTGATAAACGAGGATCAGGGGACCCTATCAGTGTAGTGGGAGAGAAGACAAAGGGTGAGGGCAGAAGTGTGACAGGTGAGTCAGACACAGCTGATGGCCTTGTCAAGCACAGTGAAGAATCCTCGGTTGATGAAGGTGGACATTTTGGAGGCTCCCTTGTAGAAGGTGGCATTGTCGGAACAGATGTGATGGAGATAGAGGAACTGGGAGAATGGACTAGAGTCTTTACAGGAAGTAGGGTATCAGGGTATATAGTCCAGGTAACTGTGTGAGTCAGTGAGTTTATAGCGGATATTCATAGCCAACCTTTCCCCAGAAATGGAAACAGTGATGTCGAGGAAGGGAGGAAGGAGTCAGAGATGGACCAGGTGAAGGTGAGAGCAGGGTGGAAATTGGAAGTGAAATAGATAAAGTTTTCCAATTCCGGACAAGAGAGAGCAACAGCATCGCTTGTGTCATTGATGTACCTGAGAAAGAGTTGCAGGAGTTAAAAGGAGAAATTGTTCAAAGTGAGTACAAGCTCGACCAGGTGGAGGAGGATGGTGGTAGATGGGGGACAGTTCAAGTCTCTTTTCCAGAAAGAAGCGGACAACCCAAGACCATCCTGATAGGGGATGGACATATAAAGGGATTGCACGTTCACGGTGAAGAGGAGGCAGCTGGAGCCCGCAAACTAGAAATTCTGAAATTGGCGTTAAGCATTAAAAGAATCTAGGATATGTGGGAAGGGGAGAAAAAATTGAGTCAAAGTTGAAGAGTCAGTTTCTGTTGGGCAGGAGCAAGCAGAAACAACGGGTCTGCCCCGGCAATCCTGTTTGTGGCTTTTGGGAAGGAGGTATGGCTATGTGCAAACTATGAGCTTCGAGGCAATAGGGAGGAGACCACCAGATTAAACGAGATTAGTGACCACTGTGATCACAATAGCCTGGTGTTCAATGGTCGCATTATGGTCTGGGAGGATAAGAGGAGATGTCCAAGAGCTGATATTCAGCATCTCATTTTCTGCTTGGGGATCCTGCAGTCTTCAGGGCTTGATGTTAAGTTCATTAATTTTAGGGCCTGAGCACCTTCTTTAATGTCCTCCCAACCCTCACATACTTGGCCTTATCATCATCACGTGGGCTGTTACACAACCAACCCATTGTCAGTTACTCATGGTCCCCATTTGCAGCTGTTCATTCTCCCCAGGCTGACAATTACCCATTTCTTTCTCTGCCCATCTGCTGTTGCCTCAATCTGAGCTCCATCTCATCTTCAGCGTATACACCAACCTTTTCCTAGGCACAATCACTCCTGAAGAAAGATGACTGGACCCAAAAGGTTAACTCTGCTTTCTCTCTACAGATGCTGTTAGACCTGCTGAGCTTCTCCAGCAATTTCTGTATTTGTTTCGGCTTTACAGCATCCACAGTTTTTTGGTTTTCTTGATTTGATTTGCTTTATTATTATTCACATGTACCGAGATACAGTGAAAAGTATTATCTTGCGGGCTAACCAGGCAAATCATACCTTACGCAAGTACATCAGGGTGATAGAACTGAATGCAGAATATAATGTTACAGCTACAGAGAAGGTGCAGAGAAAAATCAACTCTCATGTATGAGGGGTTTGTTCATAAGTCTGATAACAGCAGGGAAGAAGCTGTTCTTAAATCTGCTGTTATGTGTTTTCAAATTTTGTACCTTCTGCTAGATGAAAGGGTGGAAGTGATTATAACCGGAGTGGGAGGAGTCTTTGGTAATGTTGGCTGCTTTCCAGAGACAGCAGGAAGTGTAAGCCGAACTTGTACTTGTTTAGTACATTTCAGATCCTAATCGCTCACTGCAATGAAAAAGCTTTTTCTCATTTGTTTTTGCATCTTTTGTAAATTACTTTACATCTGTGCCCTTTCACTCTCTATTCTTTTCCAAATGGGAACAGTTTCTCCCGAGCCACACTGTATAAACTCCACATGATTTTCAACACCTCTTTCAGAGCTACTTTCAGCCTTGACTTCTCCAAGGAAATCAGAACAATTTCTACACTTATTCATGACATAAGTTTTCCATCCCTGGGAATTCTTGTAAACCTCTTCTGTACTCTCTCCAGTGGGTTCAGATCCTTCCTAAGGTGTGATGCCCAGAACTGTACAAAATATTTCAACGTAGATCCAACTAATGTCTTATACAGGGTTCAGCATAACTGCCTTGTATCCTATGCCACTACTAATAAAGCCCAGAATACATTTTGCTCTATAAATCACTCTCTCCGCCTGTAATAACTTGTGCACATTTACATGCAGCTTCCTCAGCTGCTGTACATACTTTCTAGTTGTAATACCCTTTAGTTTACACAGTGTTATCACTTCACACTTCTCCACATTGAACCTAACTGCCCCATCTAACTAATTGCCACCTAACTGCCCCATCCACCAACTTGTTAATGTTCATAACTCCATAAAATGTGGGGCAGAGGTAAACCATTTGGCCTATCAAATCAATGAGATCATGGTTGATCTGACAATCCTCAATTTGGCTTTCTTGCCTTTTCGCTATAATCCTGGATTCCCTTATTGATAAATAAAGTCCATCAGGTGGGTATGTCTATCTCAGCCTTGAATATTCTTTATGATATAGCCTCAACAGCTCTCTGCAGTAAAGAATCCCATGGAATCACTGTTCTCTGAGAGAGAAAATTCCTCTCATTTGTCTTAAATGGGCAACTCCTTACTCGCGATTATGAAAAAGGCAGTTCAGGAGGGCGCATCCAGGATTTGAATCTAGGATATTGTGTACTAATTCATTGAGTCAAAGTCATAGAGTTTTACAGCATAGAAGGAGGCCCTTTGGCCCACTGGGTCCATATCAGTCATCAAACATCCATCTACTCTAACCCCATTTCTAGCACTTGGTCTGTAGCCCCATGTGCTATGGCATTTCAAGTGTTCCTTTAAACAGTTCTTAATGTCTTGAGGATTTTCGTCTCTACCACCCTTTCAACAGTGAGTTCCAGACACCCACACTCCTCATTTTCCTCCAATCCCCTCTAATCCTTCTGGTCCTTACCTTCAAATTGTACCCCCTGGTTATTGACTCCCTGGGGGAAAACAATTCTCCCTATCTACACTGTCTAAGCCACTCAGAAATTTGTACACCTCAATCCTCCTTCAGCCTTTTCTGCTTTAAGGAAAGTAACTTATGGTTTTATAACCGCAACCTATGCAGGCTCTCTTCATTGCTGAACCACACCAGCACAGGCAACATCCTGGTGAATCTCTCTGCATGTTCTCTAATGCAATCACATATTGTGGTAATCAGAACTGCACCTAGTTGCCCAGCTGTGGTCTAACATTATATACAGTTCCATCATACTCTTTGCTTTTGTATTTAACACTGTAACTGATAAAGCAAGTATCCCATATGCCTTCTTAACCACCTGTCCTGCCACGTTTAAAGATCCAATGGTCATGCACACCACGATTCCACTGATCGTTTGTACTTGCTAGGGTTCTACCATTTAATGTGTACTCCCTGCCTTGTTAGTCATCCCAGAATACATCACACTTACCACACCACTAATTTACATGTCATTAGCTAAATTACTCCTACATTAAAGAACGTACACTAAAAAAAAGCAAGGGACACAGCACCAAACTGTGTGGTACACCACCGGATCAAGTCTTCCAGTCACAAAAACACCCTTCGATTATCACACTCTGATTTCTGCCACCATGCCAATTTTGGATCCAATTCGCCACACTGCCTTGGACTCTTAATTTATTAACAGGTTGCTTTGTTAGACCCGTCAAAAGCCTTACTGAATTCCATGTAGACTACATCAACTGCACTACCCTCATCGACACTACCTCATCACCTCCTCAACCAATTAAATCAAATTTGTCAGAGTTGATTTCCACCACGAAAAACCACTTATACCTCCTCCCTCTCAATGTTAATTTGTTCAAGAACAAAAACAAAGTTGCTGGAAAAGCCGAGCAGGCCTGGCAGCATCTGTGAAGGAAAAAAACAGAGTTAACGTTTCGGGTCCAGTGACCCTTCCTCAGAACTGTGTTTACAGCATCCGCAGTTCTTTCAGTTGTTAATTTATTCAAGTTTATCACAGGTCCTCTCCTTGATTTCTGAATTTAAATTGTTCTTTTCTGTAGTGAATACAGATGCAATGTACTCATTAAAAAGCTCAGCTATGTCTTCTGGCTCCACAGATTGCCACTTTGGTCACTAATGGGTTCATCTCTTTTCCCTACAGTACACAATTCACTACACATCCCTAAACAATGACTGTAGATATTTAATTAATATGTTCGGGCAAGTAACACATCTCTGGAGCAGGTGGAACTTGAACCTGGACCTTCTGGCCAACATTCGAAGTTGCATGGCTGTGCTACAGGTCTCGTACACGCTGACTGGCATGCCATTGCATTGACATTTGCATGCAAAAGTTGCTACCAAATACAGACCTTGGAGATCTGGACAACTGGATAAAGAATTATTGGGGAAACATAGCATCTGGCCCAGATATAGGGACACTATCACTACACCACAAGAGTCCTCAAACAAATCAGGCATCTTGACAAGCGAGATAATACAGCAAGCCAAGCAGCATCAGAGGAGCAGGAAGGTTGACGTTTTGGGCCTAGACCCTTCTTCAGAAATGGGGGAGGGGAAGGGGGTTCTGAAATAAATAGGGAGAGGGGGAGGCAGATAGAAGATGCATAAAGGAGAAGATAGGTAGAGAGGAGACAGACAGGTCAAAGAGGCGGGGATAGAGCCAGTAAAGGTGAGTGTAGGTGGGGAGGTAGGGAGGAGATAGGTCAGTCCAGGGAGGACGGACAGGTCAAGGGGGCGGGATGAGGTTAGTAGGTAGGAGATGGGGGTGGGGCTTGAGGTGGGAGGAGGGGATAGGTGGGAGGAAGGACAGGTTAGGGAGGTGGGGATGAGCTGGGCTGGTTTTGGGATGCAGTAGGGGGAGGGGAGATTTTGAAGCTTGTGAAGTCCACATTGATACCATTGGCTGTAGGGTTCCCAAGCGAAATATGAGTTGCTGTTCCTGCAACCTTCAGGTAGCATCGTTGTGGCACTGGAGGCGGCCCAGGATGGACATGTCATCTGCGGAATGGGAGGGGGAGTTGAAATGGTTCGCGACTGGGAGGTGCAGTTGTTTAGTGCGAACCGAGCATAGGTGTTCTGCAAAGCGGTCCCCAAGCCTCCGCTTGGTTTCCCCGATGTAGGGGAGGCCACAACGGGAACAGCGGATGCAGTATACCACATTAGCAGATGTGCAGGTGAACATCTGCTTGATGTGGAAAGTCTTTTTGGGGCCTGGGATGGGAGAGGTGTAGGGGCAGGTGTAGCACTTCCTGCTATTGCAGGGAGAAGTGCTGGGTGAGATGGGGCTGGAGGGGAGTGTGGAGCGGACAAGGGAGTCACGGAGAGAGTGGTCCCTCCGGAAAGCAGATAAGGGTGGGGAGGGAAAAATGTCTTTGGTGGTGGGGTCGGATTGCAGATGGCAGAAGTGTCGGAGAATGATGCGTTGGATCCGGAGGTTGGTGGGGTGGTACGTGAGGACGAGGGAGATTCTGTTTTGGTTGTTATTGCGGGGAGGGGGTGTGAGGGCTGAGTTGCGGTGACAAGCGAGTCAGTTACAAAGTGGAGAAACCGAAAGAACTGCGGATGCTGTAAATCAGGAACAAAAACAAAGTTGCTGGAAAAGCTCAGCAGGTCTGGCAGCATCTGTTAAGGAAAAAATTGTTAATGTTTCGGGTCCGGTGACCCGGAGAACTTTGGCACTAATTCCTACTACCTCTCACATGCTAAGCGAGTATTCTACCATTTGAACTGTCATTCTGAAGTTCCGCACTACCCTCCTCACAGTTTCCAATGCTTCCAAATGCTGAAATCCCGTTCCTGACCCCTATCCGGATTGAACGCAACTCATCTGTGTTGCCCCCTTTTTGTAACCACAATCACACAATTCATCGAGATAACATAATGCTACCAAGTACCCGAGAAACACATAGTCGTGCAAGAAAAATATCCTACAAAAGAGGAAGTGAGAACTTACCAAGGAGAGAAGAAAATTCTATTGCGCATTTTATCATTTATCGGAATAATCTTTTATATACACATAGAAAAGACTCGAAAAGCTGTCAGATTACAAGCAAACTTCACTGGATCACAATTTAACCAAGGCCTTAGTTCATACTGGATTTTTCTGATCTGCAACCATAAAGCATGAAATACAGTTGCTCTTTATCTGACCTCAGCTGTAAAATTATCCCGAATCCCCATTTCACGGGGACAGAGACGCAGTAGTTAAATATATACACACACACGCGCACAGGCACCTCAATGACAATCTTCTGGCAGTGCGACAGACCCCGGCTAACGGACGGACAGGACAGGCCCCGGCTCCAGGGGGTGGGGGAGGGACAAGACGGAAGAAGGGAAACGATAGGCCCCGGCTCCGGGGGTGGAGCGAGGGACAGGATAGGGCAGGCCCCAGCTCCAAGGGGTAGGGGAAGATACAAACCAGGACAGGTCCCGGCTCCTGGGAGTCGGGGGAACAAACCAGGACAGGTCCTGGCTCCTACTCCTTGGGATGGGGGAGGGGGAGAAGACAGGACAGGTCCCGGCTAACGGCCGCTGCTGGCCCCGCCCCCGCCGTCGGGGTATGCCTTTCTCTGATTGGTTAATGCCTCCGTCAATCACAGTTTCTCCGCCCCGGTTGCTGCGGAAACCCACCCTTCCCCCTTCACAGCGGACATTGCCCAAGGGCAGGGGCTCGGCCTTGAGCCTGTGATCAGCCTCCCCGCAGGATGGAAGGTGCCGGCGCTGGCCTCTCCAATGGCGAGAGGCTGCCCCTAAGCCCCACACTAAAATGGGGCTCTTGTGGACAGTGGTAATGACCCTGCCTCTGCGCCAGGAGTCTCGGGTTCAAATCTCTCCTAGTTCAGAGGTGTATAATAACATCTCTGAACGGGTTGGTTAGAAAATACCTCAAATTGAGCTCATTTGCGTTCGTAGTGTCTGTGAAGAACATCCCGTGGTACTTTGCAGAGTCTGATGCAAGCCATATAAGGAGATATTAGGTGAGAACACCAAACACATGGTTATGTGATAGGTTTTAAAGAGTGGCTTAATGAGGTCAAGAGATGTAGAAAGAGTATTCATAGCTTGGGGCCCAAGGCACAGCCACTAACAGTGAAACAGTTTACATCGGGAATGACCAAGGTACTAGAGTTCAGGAAGACATAATGGAAAATCATCAAAAGAAAGTTATAGCATGTAAAGAGGCCATTGTGGGTTGCACTTTTTAAGTGCATGTCTTCGTTTTTGATGGTTTCTGCCTCAACTACCCTCTCGCACCATGTATTACAGGTCTCCCACCATCCTTCAGATAAAAACATTTCCCTCAAAACTTCTTTAAACCTCCTACCTGTTATTTTCAATGTATGCTCCCTAGTAATGGATCCCTTAGCCAATGAGAATAGAGCCCACACTAGTCCACTGTATCTGAACACTACGTCTCTTTGCAGCTTCTTTGTTCCAGGGAAAATAACATGAACCTATCCAATCTTTCCTCATTAGTAAAATTCTTCAGTCCAGGCAACATGCTGCTAAATCTGCTCTGTACCCCCTCCAGCAGTATTTTATCCATGGTGTGGTGACCAGATTTGTACACATCACTATCTGTGGTCTAACTAGTGTTTGTGCAGTTTCAGCAAAATTTTCCTGCTCTTATTTTCTATTTTCTCAACTAATAAAGGCAAGTGTCCTGTATGTCACTTGACCACATAACCTACTTGTACTGCCATCTTAAAGGATCTGTGGAAATGCATTCCAAAGGCCCCTCTGTACCTCAAAATCTTTCAATAGCCTACCATTTATTGTGTATGCTCTTGACTTTTTAGCCTCACACTACTCCAGATTGAGCACGATTTACCATTGTTCTCACCATCTGATTAGACTTCTATAAATTCTTGCAGTCTACTGTTTTTTTCATTGTCAGCCATTGGAAAATGTTTGTATCATCTGCAAATTTGTTAATCTTTCAAGTCTAAACCAATGATAATTACTTTATAAAAAATACTAAGGACCTAGTACTAAGTCCAATGGACCTTTGCTAAAAATAGCCTTACAGTCACAAAAGCAGCCATTGACCATTACCCTTCTTGTCACTGAGCCAAGTTTGACTGTAACTTGCCATTTTGGATCCCATGAGCTTTTACTTCTATGACCTTATCAAAAACCTTGGTAGGATCCACTTGGACTTTATCAAATGCATTGTCTGATTGACTCTCTTTATTACTTATTTTTTTGAAAATCAATCATGTGAAGCAGACATGATATTCCCTTAACAAATCCATGCTGATTGTCTTTTACTCATCTCTGTCTTTCTGAATAAGGATTTTGTTTTTTTTTGTTCCTTGTTATTTTTCCAATAATTTTCCCACCAGTAAATTAGGCTGACTGACCTATAATTATTTGGTCTATCCCCTTCTCCCTTTTTAAATATAGTAACAATATTAGTTGTCCTGTCATTTTCATGTTGTACAACCAGAGTGCATTGAAAAATGATGGTCAGACCCTGTACATCTGCTTTCTTCTCTTGCTTCCCTTAATAGCACTGGACACATTTCACTTTCAAAGATGCTAAACCCTTTAGAACTTCCTCTGTCATTGTTATTTCATCTAATATTGTTGCACTGCTCTCTGATTACAATGTCTACATTGTCCTCTTTTATGAAAATAGACATAAAATATTCAGTATGAACTATATCATCTCCTCTATCTCAACACATTGGTTAGTTTACCTTTGTCTTAATCTTATGATCAGTAGCAGACCTTACTCTTTAGTTATTCTTTTCCATTTTATGAATGTATAAAAAAAATTCTGTGGGTTTTCACAGTCTTACTTGTCAATTTTTTTTTCATTTTTTTCTCACTTTCCTAATTTCCCTTTTAATAGCACCCCTTCAATTTTATACTTTAGATTTTTCATTTGTTTTGAGAGGTTTTGAAACTGAACTGTCTGTCATAAGCTCCCCTGTGTTCCCACTTCTGTCCACTCCTTTATGTCTTTAGTTGTTCTGATTTTTTGTTCCCACCATTTTTTTGTCTAGAGAACACACTGGCTTGAACCATCACTATTTCTCCCTTGAATATTTCCCACTGATCTGGCACTGAATTACCTTCAGGTAGCTGTTTCTAATCTCCCCTAGCTAAATCACATCTCCATGTAGTAAAATTAGCTTTTTCTAAGTTTAGAACTATTATTCTTGGTAGATCTTTGTCCTTTTCCATAACTCCCCAAAATCTAATGGAATTATGAACACTTCCACCAATGTTACAGAGATAGCAGGAACTGCCGATGCTGGAGAGTCTGAGGTAACAAGGTGTAGAAAAACATTTTTCTGAAGAAGGGTCTAGACCCAAAACATCAGCTTTCCTGCTCCTCTGATGCTGCTTGGCCTGCTGTGTTCATCCAGCTCTGCACCTTGTTATCTACTTCCACCAATGTGTTCCCTAACTGATACCCCTGGAACCTGCCCTGAGTTGTTCCCTAAAACAAAGCCCAGAACCACTTCTTTCTGAACTTGTTACATACTGGCTTATTAAAAACTCTTCTGTAATTATTTTGAGAATTGTGCCTTTCACACTAATAATAATCCAGTTAAAATTGGGATGTTGTACTTGAATCAGTACCAGTTTACCAGTATCAATGTCCTATTGTTCCTGCATTTCTAAGTGATTTGTTTACATATTTGCTGTTCTATCTCCATTGGACTCTTTGGGGCAAGGTGAGGGGAGATGTATTATTCATCCCTAGTAGTGTGATTAGCCCCTTGTTCTTCAGCTCAATCTATATGACCTAATTTGTTGATCCTTCTATAGATGTCCCTAGTCAAAGCTAGAATTTTTCCTTCAATCAACATTGTGGCCCATTTCTCTTTTAGCCCCCTCTTCATGTTATCTGAAAACTCTGTATCTATTATTCCTGCCCTTCTTTCAGCCATCTCTCACTAATAGTTGCATTTTCCCAATTGCCACTCCAGGCTCTCGACTTTTCTGTATTTTTCTGCAAACTACTTGTATTGAATTAGGCACCACTTAAGACTGCTAAACCCCCTTGTCTATTTTCTAACCTGTTTCCTCTGCCTTCCAAACATGCTTTAGAAAGTTGTGAATCTGTAAGAGATTAGAGAGAGATAGGATGAGAGCAGAAAGAGTGATCTGGAAGCTAGAATGGGAATTTTAAAATTGAGGCATTGCATAACCAGGAGCAAACATGGGTCGTCAGCAAAGGAATGATTCATGATCGGGACTTACTGTAAGTTAGGACATGGGTAGCAGATTTTTATGTGACCTCAAATCTACAAGAGGTGGAATGTGGGAGCTAACCAGGACAGTAATGAAATAGTCAAATCCAGATGTACCAAAAGTATAATTGAGTTTATCGGTTGGAGATACGCGGGTGCTGGGTGACCATACAATGTTACAGAAGTGAATTTGGTGGTGTAGGTGATCTTAGGATGGTTACAACACAAATGGATGCTATCTGGCTGATCATGCCCATGCTTGCCCTTTATAGCTAGTTAGTGATCAACTAGTTCCAGTCTCTTGCACTTTTCCTATAGCCTTGCATACTCTTTTTCTCTTCAGATAATTATTCAATTCCCTTTTGATGGCATCTGCCTCCACTACCCTCTCAGGCAGTGTATTCCAGATCCTAACTATTTACGTGTGAAATTAAAAATGATTTTCTTCTTGTTGCCATTGATTCTTGCCCTTTCCACAAATGAAGGCAATTTGAGTCAACGTCAACTTTCCTGCTCCTCTGATGCTGCCTGGCCTGCAGTGTTCCTCCAGCCCCACACTGTGTTGTCTCTGACTCCAGCATCTGTAGTTCTTGCTATCTCTTCACCAAAGAGAGCAATTGGAAACTATTGTGTTGATCTCTGCTGTGTTCCAATAAAAAGTTTGCTGTAATGAATTGATATCAAGTTGAAGCTGTCGAATTCTGACAGTGACAGCATGTTTGAAGGTTCTAATGGCCTAAGGCCTGAGAGTGGTAGAGGTGGGTGTTGTTATGTACTGAGTTCAATGGTCTTTACAATGGAAAGAAAATGGGGTAAGAAGCTCTGCTTGAGGTTGAACAAGGAACCAGTTTGGAAACAATTTGCATCAGCCTAAGACAGTGACTGGGAAGGAAATGGAGGCAGAACAGAAGATGATCATTGCAATATTCCTAATGTTCCCAACTCCAAAATTATGGTTCATCTAAAGCTTGATATTGGATAAACGATCTGATAACACATCAACTCAAATATAAATCCATGCTGAGCAACGACAAAAGTAGGAAAAAACCCTAGAATAGAAAAAAATAGAGGCAGTCAAATGCTGTAAACTGCTGTAGGTTGACATACTTGTTTCTGTATGTCTAGGTATATACAATGCATGGTATATAGGATTAATTCCTCTTTTAATTCATGCATGTTTTAAAATGTAGCTTGTTAGCTCTCCAAGTATACATTATGGCTTATTTTCTGCCATGAGAATTTGCTCAGTGGATTGAGACTGTGCTACATGGAACTCCTTTGGGAAACTGTATTTGAAGAAATATTTGTTCGGGAAAGATTTGTGTGGAGTATCTTGTGTTATGTAGCTGCACAGAATACAGTTTAATCATCCTAGGTAACCTTCAACCCCCTTACCAAATTAAGCTTCTGCAGTTCTTACTGAACCATTATTTTAACTGAACCTGGATAAAGTTTAGGATGAGGATATAGTTCCTTATGTTTGCCCTGCATGGCTAGCTTGTTGCGTTATGTTTGCCCAGATTAAAAGGCACAAATTGACTTATTTCCCACTACGTATAGTTATCACACTTGAAGCTAATCTGACCACGAAAGAGAATCAACTAAAATATTTTCAGTAAACATGCGTGGGAGAAGAGGTAATGAAATCAAGTATTTTATTGCTCTCGATATTTCATCTAAGAGAAGGTCTGTGCTTGAAGGTCCCGACCCAAAACGTCAACTCTTCTGCTCCTCTGATGCTGCCTGGCCTGCTGTTCTCCTCCAGCTCTACACTGTGTTATCTGTGCTTGAAGACCATTTTTCAGTGTGACTCAGCTGAATAGTGCTGATAATATGCTCTTTACCATCCTGCTGCAAGCTAAACTAGGAAAATCCAACATTGCTTAATTTTTAAAGAAAACATGTAATGCTATCAGTGACAATGATTACTTTAAAGAGTAGGATCATGCCTTCCTCGCACAATCATTGAACTTTCAGCCAAAGTTTGCTTCCATCCAGTTACACTCCTGGGCACACTGTCTCAAAGATAGAACATGTAAGGATATTTGTTTAGATTAGATACACTATTTCAGAGATGAGATGTATAAGGGCGGTTGTTATTACTGGAATACTGTCCTAGGAAATTTGGAAATTTTCTAATCAAATCTGCAGGCAGGCAGAGCTGACCCCTTTCTCAATTTCCTTTGTTGAGTCCATAGGGAAGAATCTGGACATAAAAGTGAATTTTTTGGGTATTGGAGACATTCAAGTCTAAGTCTCCATATACGTGGACAATGTTACCATGTTCTGCTTAGATCCACTGGTACCTCCGACTGATGTGTGTCTGCAATTAGTTTTAACTGGCCTCAAGAACTAAATTGCAGCAAGAGCAAGACCATGTTCTCATGAATAAAATATATTTTTGCAAAAAGAACTCTTCCAGAAATGGGATGTCAACAGGTAATTCTTAATTCTAGGTATTCTAGATATGAGTATTGAAAACGAGCCAAAATTGTATGTCTTTGGGTATCAGTAACTTATTTATATATGTATGCTGCAGCATGACATTATTGCAGGAAATCACTATTAGACATGGGTGAATCATAGAATTCCTACAACGCAGAAAGAGACAATTTGGCACATCAAGTTTGTGGTGTTTGTGATACAGCATCATTTGACCTTGATAAATTCACTGGTACTGGACTATCTACAAACAATGTCAGGAGAAATTGGTTTGAAGATAAAAGTGCCAATGAGGCAAGCTGAAACATGACTGCAAGAAGCAGCCATGGGGTTCACCCCACTGTTGAAGTGCTCATTATTTTGTTCCTTAAGAGTTGGTTGCTGTGGTGTTTGGTGTAATATCTGGTCTGTTCACTACACTGGCCAATGATTTACACAATTAACTTGCTATGAAACAAACTGAAGATATGTTTTGCTTAATAAAAAGCAAAAGAACTGCAGATGCTGTAAATCAGAAACAAACACAGAAATTGCTGGAAAAGCTCAGCAGGCCTGGCAGCAACTGTGAAGAGAAATCAGAGTTAACGTTTCGGATCTGGTGACCCTTCCTCAGACCTGAAACGTTAACTCTGATTTCTCTTCACAGATGCTGCCAGACTTGCTGAGCTTTTCCGGCAGTTTCTGTTCTATTTATTCCTCGTGGTGGCCCGAAACAGGGAATGTCCGCTTGCATTCTTGTGGCCTTTTGTGACATGTGGGCACCTTAGTATATACAGTGTTTTTAAGTTATAGACATCACATTAATTTGCTTGGATAGGTTCCCTATGCTTTTGTTGGGAAACGTTTTAGGTCAATATTGAGCTGCTTCCAATTTGATTGGACTGTACCCGTGATGTCCTTTAAAAAGTATCTGTGTTACTCTGATTGGTTTATTAAAAATAGGCCAGGATACTAGATATATTTCTGGCCTGCAGTTTCTCTCTGGATCAGGGTGGGGTGGGGAATGGCCTATGAGGTGACCAGTGACAAGGACACGGATTATGCCGCTGACACCGTGCTTGAAGTTGGCCACAGGCTGTTCCATGTCAACAGGCGGCTGCTGGCATCGACCAGCGAGTATTTCCGAGCCTTGTTCGGGGGTGGTACCAGGGAGAGCTCGGAGAATCACATCGTGTTGCGGGGCCTGGATCCCGAAGTCTTCCAGCTGCTGCTGGGTTTTGCCGCCCGGGGCCAAGTGAATGTGGAGCGGCGGAATGTGGAGGCTTTGCTGGAGGCGGCCGATTTCCTGCTCTTTGACCGGGTCAAGCTGCTGTGCGCCACTTTCCTGCAGCGGGAGCTGAGGGTGGGGAACTGCGCGGGGGCCTTGGCCTTGGCCCAGCGCTTGGCCTGCCCCAGCCTAGCGGCCGCCGCCCGTGGGGTAGCCCTTACCCACCTGGCCGCCTTCATGGACGACGAGGAAGAGTTCCTGCAGCTTCCGAAAGAGGCTCTGGCCGAGCTTTTGGCCAGTGACCACCTGTACGTGGCCAAAGAAGACCAGGTATTTGAAGCGGTGATGAAGTGGGTGAGTCACCACAACAGCAGGGAAAGTCACTTTCTGGAGTTGCTGGCCTTGGTGAGGTCCCCCTTCCTGAGCCTGTCTTTCCTCGACCTGATGATTAAACGCTCCAAGTGCAGCCTGCAGGCTGACCCTCACCACAGACTCCTGAGAATATTAAATCACAGCCTTCCCCAGAATTGGACCATGGCCCAGTCCCAGACCCAAATCAGCAGGAGCTATGAGACCATGTATGTTCTGGGGGGCAAACATGAGCAAGAACAGCAGGAGCTATTTCAGTTTCACCCTCAAACGAACACTTGGCAAGCCTGCTCTCCTCTCCGACGCAGAAAACTCACCCAATATGCCGTAGCAACAGTAGGTAACACCATGTGCAAATTATAGCACAGAAGGTTGAGTCAGCTGCTTGGCACAGTTTTAGGGTTGGGGTGTGGGGTGAGGGACTAGTGTGTAAACATGACTGCCTATATATACAATATTCTGTTTGTAGGCTGGTTGAAAAACCCATTTCAGTGCCCATCCGCTGGAGCACAAAAAATTTCTGTTCCAGGAACCTAGGGTCTGATTCAAAATTAGAGGGAGCTTCCTGCATTCGTTACAAGTAAAGTTAACTCTTGACAAACATTCTGGTTGAAGAGCAGTCCTTGTTCAATGCAGAAAAACACTCAAACTAAACTTCAGGAGTATTATGTTATGGAGCAGACCAAATCCCCTCACAATATATTAAGATGATAGTGTAGATCCTAACTTTTTCTTATTTTAAAGATAAGTATAAGGTGTTGTATTCCAGATGCAATTTGATTGGTCAAACTAACCAGGCTTGAAACCAAACACACAGTTTATTCATACACTATAATTAAAATACAGACAAAATAAAAATAAAAGAATTAACTGTAACTCCATCAAAATGCACAACAAAATAATATATATAAATGATTTCTAATTCACTTCCAATATAGTAACATCCCATAAACACACCCTTGGCAAAGGCAAATTTAGTAAAATAGATTGTCTCACGTGCAATTCTAGCAGTAGGAAGAGAACCCCAGCTATTAGCTTTATCAGGGAGAGAAATAAGAACTTCCACATTCAGCTTCAAGACTCTAGTGACTGCTACTGAAGGCTAAAACGAGAAAAGTCCTGGTTCTCGACTGTGTGGGTTTCCTCCAGGTGCTCTGGTTTCTTCCCACAGTCCAAAGCTGTGCAGATTAGGTGGATTGACCATGTTAAATTGCTCATAGTATCCAAGGATGGGCAGGCTAGGTGGATTAGCCATGGGAAATGCAGGGACATAGGTCTAGAGTGGGTCAGTCGAGGTGGGATGCTCTTTGGAGTGTCGGTTTGAACTTGGTGGATCAAATGGCCTGCTTACATACTGTAGTGATTCTGTGGGAGCTGGACTTCACCCATTCAGACTGCTTCTGTTCTATGAATAGCTCAGTTGGCTGGATAACTGGTTTATGGTGCAGTGTAACACCAACAGCATGGGTTCAGTTCCTGCACCAGCTGAACTTACCGTGAAGGACTCTCCTCCTCAATCTCTCCCCTCGCCTAACTAGTGGTGACCCCCAGGTTAAACCACCACCAGTTGTCTCTCCAATGAGAGAGAAACCTATGGTCCTCTGGGACTACTGCAACTTGACCTGTTAAGGTTCTTGATTGTCAAGGGGATCAAGGGTTATGGGGAGAATGGGGTTGAGGAACTTATCAGCCATGATTGAATGGCGGAGCAGACTCGATGTGCTGAATGGCCTAATTTCTGCTCCTATGTCTTATTAACTCTTTTCAAAAAAAAAACAGCGTCTCACAAGCTGCTTTATTGGCTTTGGAGCAGACTGCTCACTACCTCTGTCTCAACCTTTCTACATAATGAAAAAAAGGACAAAATACACCTCTTAGAGCCATTGTATCACCACAATTAAGTGTGAATTTTTACAGCTGAGGGTCCCAGACACAATTCACCTAGAACCTTTACATCCAAGAGACGGAGGAAAGCTGACCAGCACAGTGTTTTGACTTACTGGGAGTGGTGCACCAATTATCAAGCTCCACTGTTCCGCACACCATCACAAATGTGTAAATACCACAAACCACATAGAAGATCAGTTTGTCTGACTGACTGCTATGTAAGACAAAAGCAATTCACACACAGTTTGATCATTCACAACAAAATACTTTATTTATTGTAAACACAAGTTATTATTTATTACATGGCAGAGAGAATTGAAGGATAACTAACCTCCTACAATGTGAGTTATACTATCCACTTTAAACCCATACCCTAAATATAGACACACATATTTTCAAATAAGACAGGTAGCAAATATGCATGGAAAATATAGACAGGCAATACAAAATTCTGAAAACCAAAAGTCTAGATCAGAAGGGTGACTTAAATTGTCTCCCACAGACCTTTTGATTTTAGAGTGATTGTTATTCTACTCAATAGTTGATCAGGTAAACAAGGTCTTATATCAGAATTTTTTCTTTTGTTCCTTTTTATTTGTCTTTTCACTCACTTGGAGAGATGGAGAAAGATATTTTCTGCTTGCAGGTTCCGGATGGTTCTGGCTGTACTACTTCCGTCAATCTGTAGCAAACTGCAGTTCAATCAATCTGAGGCCTTTCATCAGGCAGTAAATCCTTAACTCAAAAATTCCTGACTCAATAATGTGACAATCTTAATGCTCCAAAAGCAACATTGTCTTGCACAGCTAAAAACGCATATCACTTGATTTTTCGAAGTTGCAAAACTCTTGGTATTTCCCTACATAACACTGCCCAACTTCCTTTTCCATTTACAGTCCAAAAAAGGGAAAAAATATAGTCTGTTACAATAGTTCTCACAAATTAAAGTTTAATTGCACTTTACCATTCAACCTCAGGTACTTAAATTGTCAGATAATCTTTGGCTCATTAGCTTTTAATAACTTGAACAAACGTGAAAAAGATTTGGTGACAGTTCTATAAATAAAAGCCATTTTGTTACCTGCAACATTGAGAATAGCAGGTTTTGGAGTATGTTGTGGTGGATGAGAGTTGATACATAACTTGAACAAAAAGATTATTGGGCCTTTTGACAGTCTGACCTTGCCTATTATTTCTTCTTCAGAAATGCATCTACCTCCCATTCATTTTTATCCTGATTTATGTCTGCACCTGTCACACGGGAAATTGAACCACTATCGATTTAACTGAGATTCCAAAAGATTGGTGAACAATTTCCTCCCAGTAGGAAGATGGGAACATCAGACTAGTGTCCCAGGGTCACCTCTGCCCTTATAACATTATTGATGTGTGCTTTTAGATTCATTAAAGAAAGGAAAGATAAATGGCATCGATACTTTGCTTGGGAGATCAGGTGTTTAGCCACAATAAAGGTAACATTGCTACAGTCTTACTATACCATAGGGCTGCTCTCTCTCATTAGACAGAGATGATTAGTGGTGATTTAACCTAAGGATCACCATGCCTCAGGCAAGAATCCTTCATGGTAACCTCAACCAGTGCAAGAATTGAACACATGCTATTGGAATCACTCTCCATTGCAAACCAGCCATCCAACCAACCAAGTGAGCTATCACTTGTGAATTATGTAATATGTCAATAACATCACGTGCCAAGGCTGTCACATACCTTGAGCACAAATGTAGTATTTGGTTGGGGTGCTACTTTAAGTACTCAATCAAATATCTGATTTGTTATCTGTCAATAAATCACAAGGGAAGAAGTGGCTAATCAGGATTATGTAACCGAGAGAAAACCCAACATTTAAATCAGTTTTTTTCAAATTCACACATCACATGTATGAAAAAATAAATTATGCATAATTTGTTCAAACCATTTGTGTTCTCTGTTTAAGTTGGTGTATTGTGTGTTAGCTGTTGACTCAGAGATAATAAGCTTATTTCCCAGCTAGAAGATTGTAGGTATACACCTCATACTGGAAACAAATTCACACTGATGGTACTCATAGAGTGCAACAGCCAGAAGAACTACCTTTCAGATGAGATATCAGACCCACTCTTTCAGGTGCATGTAAAAGATTCCATGCTACTGTTTTAAGAATAATGTGAGGGTTATTACTGGTGATACAGTCAATATTTATCCCTCCGTCAGCACAAAGACACAACGAGATTTGATTGCTTTTATGTTTGTGAAACCTTGCTATTTGCAAACTGCCTGCTGCAATTTCTGCATTACAACAATGACTATGTTTCAGCAGTGGCTGTGTAGTGTTTTGGGTCACTCTGAAGTCATGAAAGGACTCTTAAATTAAAATTCTTTCTCACTCTTAAAAATTTCATTTATATTGTAACAAAGGCAATAGAATATCGCTCAATCCTGGATGAAAAACACAACACACTGTTTCCTCTTTGTAGAATACGTGGAACAATCCCTCTTCCGAAGCTACACTGGTCCTATCCCCCACCTCTTCCTCCGTTATATCGATGACTGTATCGGCGCCGCCTCGTGGTCCCACGAGGAGCTCGAACAGTTCATCCATTTCACTAACACGTTCCACCCCAACCTTAAGTTCACCTGGACCATCTCCGATACCTCTCTCTCCTTCCTGGACCTCTCTGTTTCCTTCTCTGGCAACCACCTGGAAACCAGTATCTATTTCAAGCCTACCGACTTCCACAGCTACCTAGAATACACCTCCTCTCACCCACCTTCCTGCAAAAATGCTATCGCCTATTCCCAATTCCTTTGCCTCCACAGCATCTGCTCCCGAGATGAGGCATTCCACTCACGGACATCCCAGATGTCCTCGTTTTTCAAGGACCGCAACTTCCCCTCCATAGTGGTCAAAAATGCCCTCGACTGCATCTCTCGCGTTTCCCACAACTCATCCCTCACACCCCCTCCCCGCAATAACAACAAAAACAGAATCCCCCTCGTCCTCACATATCACTCCACCAACCTTTGGACCCAACGCATCATCCTCCGCCACTTCCGCCACCTGCAATCTGACCCCACTACCAAGGACATTTTTCTCTCCCCACCCTTATCTGCCTCCTAGAGGGACCGCTCTCTCCGTGACTCCCTTGTCCACTCCACACTCCCCACCACCCCCGGCACTTTTCCCTGCAACCGCAGGAGGTGGTACACCTGCCCCTACACCTCCCCACTCACCCCCATCCCAGACCCCAAGAAAACCTTCCACATTAAATAGATGTTCACCTGCACATCTGCTAATGTGGTATACTGTATCCGCTGTTCCCGATGTGGCCTCCTTTACATCGGGGAAACCAAGCGGAGGCTTGGGGACCGCTTTGTGGAACACCTACACTCGATTCGCGACAAACGACTGCACCTCCCAGTCGCGAACCACTTCAACTCCCCCTCCCACTCCTTGGACGACACGTCCATCCTGGGCCTCCTCCAGTGCCACAACGATGCCACCTGGACCTCGTATTTTGCTTGGGAACCCCTGCAGCCCACTGGTATCAATGTGGACTTCACAAGCTTCAAAATCTCCCCGCCTCCAACCTCATCCCAAAAGCAGCCCAGCTCATCCCCGCCTCCCTAACCTGTCCGTCCTTTCTCCCACCTATCCACTCCTCCCACCTCAACCCCCACCCCCACCTTCTACCTACCAGCCTCATCCCTGCCTCCTTGACCTGTCTGTCTTCCCTTGACTGACCTACCCCCATCCTAACTCCCCACCGACACTCACCTTTACTGGCTCCATCCCCGCCTCCTTGACCTGTCTGTCTCCTCTCTACCTATCTGCTCCTTTATCCATCTTCCATCCGCCTCCCCCTCTCTCCCTATTTATTGCAGAACCCCCTTCCCCTCCCCCATTTCTGAAAAAGGGTCCAGACCCGAAACATCAGCTTTCCTGCTCCTCTGATGCTGCTTGGCCTGCTGTGTTCATCCAGCTCTGCATCTTGTTATCTCTAACACTGCCTTAAAGGTAGTTATTAAGTATTACAAATGCTTACAAGAAGTTCCTCTGTTGAGAAAACACAGTGTGGAGCTGGAGGAGCACAGCAAGCCAGGCAGCATCAGAGGAGCAGGAAAGTTGATATTTTGGGTTGGGACCCTTATTCAGAAATGGGGGAGGGGGAAGGGATCTCCGAAATAAATAGAGAGAGAAGGGGTGGGGCTGGGGAAGGTAGGTGAGATGGTGATAGATGAGTGCAGGTAGGCAGTGGTGGGGATTGGTCAGTGAGGTGGGAGGAGCAGATAGGTGGGAGAAAAGATGGACAGGTTGTGTCAGGTCAAGGAGGTGGGGATGAGAGGGAGGGTTGGTCATGGGATAAAGCCGAGGATGGAGAGATTTTGAAACTGGTCTCTGAGCTTCAGCTTGGTCTCACCAATATAGAGGACGCCACATCAGGAGCAAGCGGAGGCTCGGAGACTGCTTTGTAGGGCACCTGTGTTCCATTCACAACAAACGACGACACCTTCCAGTCGTGAACCACTTCAGCTCCTCCTCCCACTCCCTGGGCAACCTGTCCATCCTGGGCCTCCTCCAGTGTCACAATGGTACCACCCGGAAACTGGAGGAGCAGCACCTCATATTCCGCCTTGGGAGCCTACAACCCAATGGTCTCGATGTGGACTTTACCAGTTTCAAAATGTGCTTACCTGCACTCACCTATCACCATCCCACCTACCTTCCCCAGCCCCACCCTTCCTCTCTATTTATTTTGGAGCTCCCTTCCCCCTCCCCCATTTCTGAAGAAGGGTCTCAACTTGAAACGTCAACTTTCCTGCTCCTTTGATGCTACCTGGCCTACTGTGCTTTTCCAGCTCCACACTGTGTTGTCTCTGACTCCAGCATTGGCGGTTCTTACTATCTCTTCCTCAGTGTTGATCTTTTATTGTGTTTGAAGTCTGAGCTTGACTTCAAAGCTTCTGCCGGATCCTGATATGTTCTCAAATTTTAATTACCCTTGACTAATTGTGTGTGTGTGTGAGAATGAGTTGGATCACGAGTGATTGTTCACACAGTGGTTCTGTGGGATTGCAATGTCCACAGTTCACCACAGCAATCCACATCACGTTATAGTCAGGCAGAAGGTGACTCATGCTACTGTTAAGCAATTCTTTCAAATGTGCTTTATTAGTTAAATAGGAACTCATTGAGAGTCAGTTTTCTTCAAAATCACTGAATAACAGATAAAGCTTTGTTAATCAATATCAATATAGGGATGACCTATGAAATGATATTCCTCAATGACAAACGGGCAATGCTATTGTTTCTGTGTAACTAACAACCCGTGAATTAGATGTAAGAAATCATGGCCATTAAACCTAAGAACACAATTGCTTTAGAGGGCTCTAAGTTACAGAGAAAATGGAGTTGAATTCTAAGAGGTTGCAAAGTCTTATTGCTACAGATTTTGCTGATTTTACTTAATAATTTGTTTCACATGGAAATGTCTATATATCATTGGCTAAAAGTCTGAGAGTTTAGCTATTTTAAATCTGAGCAAGCCCTGGTCCCAATAGTTTTCCATTCTAAGATTAAGCTGTTCTTTATATGTTTCTGCAACAGGGAATTTTATCTTTGTGACAGGCGGCTACTTCCGAGAAAGTGTGGTATGGTACTGTGTGGACTGGGTGCTGGTTTATAACTGCTGTGAAGACAGTTGGATGGAAGGACCGTCGATGAAGCAGTCTCGTAACTGGCATTGTGCAGTTGGTGTTGGGATGTACCTGTACGTACTGGGAGGGAGCACTGATGAGGCTGTCATCGCTGATGTTGAGCGACTTCCATTGATGGCCACAGAGTGGGAGAAAACAGCGCCCATGATGCGACCCGTGGAGAGGGCTGCAGTGGTCAGCACTGGCACCAATGTATATGTTTTGTGTGGACTGGATGAAAATGGTGACGTTTACAGTGGGGTGCAGCGGCTAAATGTGGACAACGATGTTTGGGACGTGATCTCCTTCTCCCCGCTTCCTCGGTAGGTCCTGTTTCATTTTCATGAGGGAGTTAGTTTGACACTATTTTGCAGTTAAGAACATGTCTTTAGCTACTCTGGCTTTCAGCTCGAATTGGTCGTGTTTAAGCAAAGCCTGTTTAGACCTATCTTTTGGTTCTTGTCCCCTGAGTACATTGTTTTGCCTCATAAGCCCTTTTGTTATTCAAACCCTTCAGGCCTTTCATCTTATCAGAGCCCTTCTTATTCCTCCTTTCACTGTTCATACTTACTTAAAATTTGATTAACTTTCTCAAAAAGGTCACAGATCTGAAATATTAACTGGGTTTGTCTCTGTGCGTTTTCATTTGATTTGCTGAGGTTTATTTCGAGTATTTTCCATGAATGGTTAAGTTCACAGTGATCCTGTTTAAGGTTAGCTTTGCCTGTGATGAGGTAGCTGCACTGTATCAGATATCTCAGGATTAAACACAGATCAGCAGCACTGTCACTGACACTAGTGTTTTCTTTACCTGTTTAAGGTATGATCTCTGTGCCACCATTCTGAATGGTGCAGTGTACGTTGTGGGAGGTCAGACGTTCCGTCTGGACACAGACACTGATGAGTGGACTCCAGTGGATGAGGAACGCTTCAATCAAAAGTTCTTTAGTGGTTGCACAACTGTTAACGGGAGGATCTTTGTCCTTGGGGAGAGGAGAGGGAACACATCCATCCCAAACATGATTCTCTTTGATCCCTATACAGAAACATGTCAAGTAGTGAATGCAGCTGTGCCCTGTCCACTCCCTATTCGAGGCTGTGTGTCCATCCGAAAGTTCAACGTGAGATTTGGAATTTAATCAGATACAGTTTAAGAGAATGAGTCACTTGTGTCACTGGCCCTGTATCTGTGCTGCCCTTTTGACAGTAGCATCGAGGTGAGGGAATCACAGTGCCAGCTTTCTCAGCTCAGGAGAGACCACAATCACAACTGCTTTCTGGTTACCCTGGACAAAATCTGGAATCCTGATTGGACATTAGATGAGGTGTCAATCAAAAAGTACCCCTAGGTAAACCATCAATGCATTAACGAGAATCCCTGACCCACAGCCAGTCCCTTTGGGGCTGTTTATCCTGGTCTGCTGGACAGTGAGCTGAATGTCATTTTTTTCACCCTCATTCAGGCTTTTCCTGCTTCCTGGCTTGGTTAATATAATGTTTTCCTGGTCATCCTACAATAAACCCTAGCTCAACCACAACCCTATTGCCTGTATCCTTTTTCTCCTTTATTCGTTCAGAGGATGACAGCATCACTGGCTAGGCAGCGTTTATTGTCCATCCCTAATTTCCCAGAGGGCAGTTAAGAGTCAGCCACATTGCTTTGGGTCTGGAGTCACACATAGGCCAGACCTGGTAAGGATGGCAGTTTCCTTCCCTAAAGGACATTAGTGAAGTTTTTCCCCAACAATCGGCAATGGGTTTATGGTCATCATTAGACTCTTAATTCCAGATACTTTTTGAATTTAGATTCCACCATCTGCCATGGCGGGATTTGAACCCATGTCCCCAGAACATTATCTGGCTTAACAGTCCATTGATAATACCACTAGGCCATTGCCTCCCCTCTATCCCATCTTACAAGTTTGGTTCTGAAGAAAAATCATGCTGGACTTGAAACATTAACTCTGTTTCTCTCCATGGATGCTGCCAGACCTGCTAAATGCCTCCTTTTGCAGTTTAAGCATCACCTGTGCACTCTGACTGTGGCCTCTTATGCATCTGCTGACACCCACTACCTCCACCCTGCTATTGGCATTGCAGTGACCTAGACCATATATTCAATAGAATTCCTCCCTCTATCCAGCTCCCTATCTGCTGCTTTAAGACCTTTATACCTGTTCTTGGTTCAGCAGCCGTTTTCCCATGCCTTGGCACTATTGGACATTAAAAAGGTGAGTTGTTTACCTAGAGTCCTACTTATTCGTACTGATCTGCAGCAGACCAGAGCCAGTACAATGAACAATTGATCATTTTATGGGTTTTCTTTTCTTTCTGACCGTGTGTGTGTGTATTTTGGACTGAAAACAAAGTTGGGCTTTTCTGTCACCATTTGTAGCATCGCTGTAACATGGTGGAAGATTCCAGAGAATATGCACGCTATCACAGATGTTGGTGAGAAAGTCAGGAAATTGGATTCTTTGAATAAATTAAGTGTGAAATTCAGCAGAGGTACTGGGTAATATGAATCAATTTATTGTCCTACATCACTCTGCACCCACCACTCCACCCCAGTTGATACAACAACTTTAGTTTCCATAGCACATTTAACATGGTAAAATGTCTCAATGTGCTTCTCGAGAGCAGTATAAAACAGAATTGGACTTTTGTGCTGTATAATGAGCTATTAGGATGGGTGACCACAAATATGGTCAAAATCTTTGTTCTAAAGAGTGTTTTAAAGGCAAATAGGCCAATAGGGAGGTAATTCTAGAGCTTTGGGTCTGTGCAGCTAAAGATGAGGACACCAATAGAGAAGCATGTAAAAACACAGGAAGCTCATGAGATATGATTCAGAACAATCCACAAGCTCCTCCCCTTCATTGCCACAAACAGCTGCGGTGTAATAAAGGCTCTTCAGTATGCTAACAGGAAATTCTAGACATGCACCGCAGATCTTTTAGCAATAGGGCAAAACGACAAGAAAGTCTTCAAGATGGAGTCAGATCCACGCTTGAAGCTGGTGCCTGAAATGTTGAACTTGCCTTTTCACTTGTGTGTACTTAGAATCTTGGTGCGTAGCACCAGAAATTTTTGTTTGTGTTTTATGTTGTCAACATTCTTTTTTAACATTTCAACTTTAAATTTAGAGCTCCTGGCCTATTTATTTCCTGGACAAAACAGTAGAACTCCAGAGGAGAGGTTAGAGTGAGCGTCCTTGACAGTAAGACCACATTTGATCTTGTGTGGCATAAAAGAGCATTAGCAACAGAGTAATTGGTGTTCTGAGGAAGGGTCACTGGACCCAAAACATTAACTCTGTTTTCTCCTTCACAGATGCTGCCAGACCTGCTGAGCTTTTCCAACAACTTTGTTTTTGTTTCAGAGTAATTGGGAATCGGGGAAAGCTCTGCTCAGTGGAATTATTTTTAGCACAAAGGAATGTGGTCGTGGTTGTTGAAGTTTAGTCATTTCAGCTTCAGGAGTTCCTCAGGGTAGCGTCCTAGGCCCAAATATCTTCACTGCTTCATCAGTGACCTTCCCTCAGAAGTGGGGATGTTTGTTGATGGCTGCACAATATTCAGCACCATATGTGACATCCGAGTTTCTGAAGCAGCCCTTGTGCAAATGGAACAAGAACTGGACAATATCCAGGTATGGTCTGACAAAGGGCAATTAACATTCATGCCACTTAAGTGCCAGACAATGACTATCACAGATGAGAGAGAGTCTAATCATTGCCTCCTCAGTGGCATTGCCACTATTGAATTCCCCCATATCAACGTTGTGATTGTTACCATTGACCAGAAACTGAACTAGACTAATCATAGAAATACCGTGGGGAATGGTCAGAGATTAGAAATCCTGAGGGGAGGAACTCACTTCTTGTTCACCCTCTGCAAAGCACAAGTAAAGAACGTGATAGAGTACTCCTGACCTGCCTAGACGAGTGTAACTCCAACACCACTCAGGAAGCTTGAAACCATCCAGGACAATTCAGCCTGCATGGTCGGTGCCATATCCTCAAGAATTTGCTCCCTCCATCACCGACATACAGTAGCAAGCAGCATGTAACATCTACAAGGTGCACTGCAGAAATTTACCATATGTCCTGAGAGAGCTTCTTCCAAACCCATTACTGCTACTATCTGGAAGAAGGTCAAAAGACATATGGAAACACCACCACCCACAAGTTCTCTTCCAAACTGTCACCATCCGGATTTGGAAATATGTTGCCATTTCTTCGTGTTGCTAGGTCAACATCCTGAAAGTCCCTAACAGTATCGTGGGTTTACCTAAACAAAATGAGCTACAGCAGTTCATGTCTACTTTTTCAAGGCAACTAGGGATGGGCAATCAATGCTGTATGAACCAGCAATACCTGCAGGCTGAATATGTCTAAGTTTGCCATCTCCTGTTGTGGCATTGAATGTGAGGACCTCTCTTTGACATAAGTTATCAGTTGTTGTTGGTAGACAATAAAGGTGCCAAAGTGTTGAGTTACTAGAACCATACAGAATTATAGAAATTACAGTAATTTGATCCTTCGAGCTTGTGTCAGCCGCTGAAGAGGATGTATCTGTTCCCAAATGGATCACGAAGTAGAAATACTCCCATGTTGTGTTGGGTTATGGAACTAGGTGGAGGCGATTGACAGCCAGCACTGGGCATTAAAGGAATTTGTGGCTTCACTGCAACAGATGGAGAAAAATACTAGAAATCAAGAATTCTAACAATCACCTCCTGTAACTGTGACAGAAAACTTCTTCAGGCCTCTATCCTGGAATTTTACTAGCAGTCCAATAAATTTTTCATGGGAAAATTGAATGGTCAGTCTATGTTCATTTTTGTAATTAGAAGTTTGTGACACTTGCGTTTCAACGTCAGTACCAATACTACATCAACTCCCAACACTACATTCATAGAATGAAAGTTATGCAGCCCAGGACACCATTCAGCTTTTTGAATCTATGCCAGTTCTTCCAAACAACATAAATTTGTCCCACTCCATTCCTCTTTCTCCAGACCCTTGCAATTATTTCCTCATTCAATTCTTTTCCAATTTGTAATTGAAGGCCACTGCTAAATCTTCCCTATGACATTCATGTGACACACCAAACAATGACATCTCAGCACATGACATCAGCTCAGCTCTTGACACTAGGCCCTGACATGCCATCAGTGAGCAACATCAGTTTAGTCCCCAGGACACCCATGTATGACCCACTGAGTGCCCTCACCTGAGCCATGATTCATGAGTGGGTGTCTTCCTTCTGGTGGGGTGGGTGGGAAGTGACCATATCTACCAGAGCTAAATTACTGACTAAATAGAGGCGATAATCCAGTCTTTGTCTCGGAGGAGAGCTTTGTGCTTTTGCTACTCCTAGGACCACCAAACTACAACGTGGTAAGAGTCAATACTTGTTCCTGCCAGCTAGTCACCTCTGGTATAATAGTTGAGGTTATGTTTTAATAAGCAATAAAATAGATATTATGACTGGTAGTGAATCTAGTTTTTGAAATGTTGTTGTTGCATTTATCCTTTGTTTACCCTGTTGTGATTGCACTCTGGGTAACAATGGTTGACTGGTGACAAGACAGGAAATTGTGGTTTGGGACTTCATTGACCAAATGGTTTGGTTGAAATGTGTAGAAGAAGCCAAATGGTGAAAAAGCAAATTGCATCAGTAGTGCAGTAAAGTGCGAGAACAGACAACTTGCTGTGGGAACAGGAGGATAAACAACTCCCAGAGAAGACAGAAACTAATAGTGTCTTGAATCCCAGACAAAATGCTTAAGTGTCGAGACCACCACTGTTGGCATGGGAAAGTTGACTCCCTCTACCAGCAATGGAGTACAGTAAGCCAATTGTTTGAAGATTGAAAGTAGCTTGGGTTGCCACAGATGGTTCAATTACATAATTTAGTATTTGGTGTGTTCAAATGATAGCTCAGCAATGATTAGATTAAATCTGCCTCCATGGGCTTTTCTGTGAAGATGCAAGAAGGAATTCCTGAGCATAGACAGTTATAGAGGTTTAGGTACTGCATTGACTGGTGACAAGTGAGTATTTACATGGATATTGCACCTCTATCCAAACTATAATGGCAACGGTGTTATCCTATGACAATACTACTCAGACATTAGGATGAATCAGCCTTATTGAATAAAACAGCCAGTTTACCAAACTGGGTTGTTACTTAAAATCATTAGAGAATTTGGCAAATGGAACAAAGAGTCAATTGACTTCCTAAACCTGGTTTTTCTAGCCTTGTTTGATGCTGCTACAGATCTCAGTGGGTACTGTCCAACATTGGTGTAGGTTTAGGTTAGTATTAGTCTGTTTCAATACAAGCATATGTTGCCTCTGCAAGATGATGGTATAGACTTGGATGAGTAGAGGCTGCACTGGCTCCGACAGCCTTCGAACAAAAACTGTGCTGAGCTAGTCTATTAACTGCTTGTATCAGTTTATTTCCTTCACTACATAGGGCCAAGTAAGTAATAGGATTTTTAAAAATTCTTCCATGGGTGTGGCAGCTGCTGGCAAGCCCAACATTTGTTGCCTTTCCCTAATTACCTTTGAAAATGTGAGCCGCCACCTCCAATTGTTGCAGTCCATACAGTGTAGGTGTACATATGTGGCACTGTTAGGACAGGAGGTCCACGACAGTGAGGGAACAGCACTTCTCCAGAGGTCCCCAGCATCACAGATGCTTGTCTTCTACCAATTCAGTTCATTCCATGTGTAAACAGGTACTGGATACCACAAAGAGAATGGACCTTGACAACCTTCCAGCAATAGTACTGAAGATTTTGTTCCAGAACGTGTCATACCTCTCGCCAAACTGTTCTTGTACAGTTAACAACACTGGCACGTATCCAACAATGTAGAAAATTGTCCAGATAGATCCTGTACATAAAAAGCAGCACAAATCCTGGCCAATTAGAACATAGAAAGTAGGAGCAAAAGCAGATCATTCAGCTGTTCAAGCTTTCCCTGCCATTCAGTATGATCATGATTGATTATACACCCAAGTACCCTGTTCCCACTTTCTCCCTATATCCTTTGATTCCTTTAAGCCTAAGAACTATATCTAATTCCTTCTTAAAAGCGTTCAATGTTTTGGCCTGAACCGCTTTCTGTGGCGGAGAATTCTACAGGCTCAGCACTGTCTGGGTGAACGCCTCATCATCTCATTCTTAAATGGCATATCCGTATGCTTAAACTGTGACCTCTAGCTCTGGACTTCCTAGTCATTAGGAACGTCCGGTGTTTACCTTGTCTAGTCCAATTAGAATTTATAGGGTCCCATGAGACCCCCCTTCATTCTTCTAAATTCCAGTGAATATAGTCCTATTTGATCTAGTTTGTCTTCATACATCAGTCCTGCCATCCCAGGAAGCAGTTTGGCAGCAGTTCACCAACATCTTCTCTAGGGAAATTAGGGATGGGAAATAAATGTTAACCCAATCAGTGACACCCACATCTCAAAAATAATTTAAATTATTAGTCAGTGCTGGGGCTTACATCAAAGTGAATACAAATACTGACAGCCTTACCTGTCCCTAGCTCTGGATGACATCAGGCATGTCACATCAGTCACTTGGTCATCAGTAAATAATTGTGGGTGCCATTAAAGTGCTTCCTTATGTTCAGTTTTCATTTCTCCAGTGCTACTCCATTTCAGTTCTGATTACAACCTTCGTTCAGACATGGACAACAAAGCTAAATTCTAGAAGTGAGGTGAGAGAGTCAAATGATGCCAAGGGCAATCACTAAGTGTGGCATCAAGGAGCTCCAGCAAGATTTGTGTTAGTGGAATTGAGGGAATACGCTCCTCCGCTGGTTGGAATCATACCTGGCACAAAGGAAGATGTTGTGGTAAAGGAGGTCAGTCATCTCAGCACCAGTATATTTCTGTAGGAGTTTCTCAGAATAGTGTCCAAGGCCCAACCATCTTCAGTTGTTTCATCAATGACCTTCCCTCCTTCATAAGGCTAGAAGCTCACTGATGTGCACACAATGTTCAGCACGACTCATCGGATACTGAGGTGGCCCAGGAGTGATGTCCATATGCAGCAAGACCTGGACAATTTCCAGATTTGGGCTTACAAATGGCAAAAGTAACATTTATGCCACAGAAGTGGTGCTAGGTAATGACAATATCCAACAAGAGAGAATCTATACATGGTAATGCCATTGAATGTCAAGGAGTCATCTGACTCCTCCCACTATTAACATCCAGGTGTTACCATTGCCCTGAAACTGAACTGGGACAGCCATACAAGTTCTGTGACTACAAGAACTGATCAGAAGCAGCAAGTAACTCACCTCTCGTCTTCCCAGAGCCTGTCCACCTAGGCAAGGCACAAGTTAGGAGTATGATGGCAAGTTGGGAGTATTCGTTCATGAATGCAACTCCAACACTTAAATGCTTAATACTATCCAAGACAAAGCAGCCTGTTTGATTGGCATCACATCTATTCCCTCTGCCACCAGTGCTCAGTAGCAATAGCATGTACTATCTACAAGATGCACTGCAGAAATTCATCCTTAGATAGCACCTTTCAATCCCACAACCACTACCATCCAGAAGGATGAGGGCAGCAGATGCACCATAACCTGCAAATTCCCAAGTCAGTGATAGTGTCCCTACCCATGTGTCAGGGATACCCAGGTTCAAGTGCCATCAATCTGAAGTACGTAACAACATCTGAGCAGGTTAATCAAACAATATCTGAGAGGAGGTCTGGAGCTGATTGGCCTTGATAGCACTGTCAAATGACACATTCCATCACTTTGCTGATGAGAGGGAGTATACTGATGGGATGATAATTGATTGGATTGGTCCTGCTTTTTGTGGATCATACCTGGGCAGATACCTATGTTGTATCAATACTGTATCAGCTTGGCAAGGGGCACAGCTAGTTCTGTATCAAGTCTTCAGTGCTGCAGCTGGGACTTGGATTTATTTTGTCCGACTGCACTGGGGGAACCTTTCTTGATATCACATGGAGTGTATCAAATTAACTGAACACTGACAGCTGTGATGCTGGGGCCTTAAGACAGTAACTGAAACCCTTCTAGTTAAAGGCGATAGTGCAAAGACAAGGCTAAAACTTTCAGACACACGGGCCTGCTATATCTGATAATGGGGCCTCCTCTCATTAGTTGCTTAGTCCTAGAAAGCTATGAAATCTGATTGAGGTTTCTCTAATCATGAGGGGGCTGGACAGACTAGATAGGGTGAAACAAGAACAAGAGGGCATAGATTTAAACTGATGTGCAAATGAAGGAAGAGCGATGTGTCCAAATACACACTCACATCAAGTAGTTAGGGTATGGAGGGCAGTGCCTGGAAAAATAGTTGAACAGGTTCAACAGAGGCATCCAAGAGAGCACGAGAGGTTTTGTTTTTAATAGTTATGGGGTGCAGGGATATAGGGAAAATGCAAAAGATTGGCATTAGATAAGAGTTGGGTCCAGGCACAATGGGCTGAATGGCCTCCTACAGCACCATAACATTTCTGTGACAGGATACCAGAGCTTTGATCTGATTTGTTGGTTATGGGATTGTCTAGTTGCATCAATAGCACACTACTTCTGTAGTTCATCATACGGTGATCCTGTATTTTAGCTTTACCAGGCTGGCATGGTATGTCAGTTGCCATTCCTGGCAAGTACACTCCTCATTGAAACATAGTTGATCCCTTGGCTTGATGATAATGGTAGAGTTAGGGACATGCTAGGACACAGGTTAAGATTATGGTGGAATACATTTAGGCTGATGCTGAGGGTCCATCATTTTAGATGGACCTCTTCTGAACCTATTCCATTTAGCATGGTGGCAATATCACAACACATCAGAGGCAGGACTTCATCCCCACAAGGACTATGCTGTGGTCATTCCTAGAAACATTATCATGGACAGACGCATTGGAGATAGGTGAAATGGTGAGGATATTCTCTCAGCTGCTACAGTCCTAGCCTGTCCTTTCCAACTACTATTGACAGTCCTGAGCAAAGTCCCTCAACCAGAGAACATTCTGTGCCTTTGTGGCCTTCAGTGCTTCTCCCAAGCATTGTTCAACATGGAGCAATGGTGATTGTGGTAATCAGCAGGAGTTCACTTTCCCCACTTTGGTGCCGAGACTAGGCCTGAAGTCAATGTTAAAAACTTCCATGGACTTTGCCCGAGTGTCACAGTTGGTGGGTCTGGTATGTGCTGTCTCACCAGCAGGACAGTGTTGCGTTACTGTCACTGGGTATGACTGTCTTTCAGCTGACATTCTCTCAAAATCCTGTGTTAGGCTATTGCTCGACTGGTATCTAACCAGTGGCCAATTCAGAAAGCAGCTAGAGTCAGCCACATTGTAATTACTATAGTTTCATCACATGTAGGGCAATAGATGAGGACAGTAGATTTCCTTCCCTAAAATGGACATTAAAAATCCATCCAATTCAGTAATGACAATTTGGCACTTTTGTGGTCACCATTACTGCAGTCAGTTTTGTATTCTAGATTAACTAAATTAAACAATTTAAATTATTTCCCAGTTGCCAAAGTGGCATTTGAATTAATATTTCCACATTGTTAGTTGACTAACAATGTGACCATACCCTTGTTTACAAGTCTGTTTTAAGTCTTCCATCTAGTGTGTTGTGACTGTAAGATGAGAGAGATTTAGAAATACTGCTTTCACTTAACTCTAGTTCTTCCGTCAGCCCAGAGATATTTGTGATGAGACATTTCCTCCATGAGATCAATAGTCTTTTCTCTTACATATTCAAAATACAAATATATAGTCCTCCCAGTTGGCAAACATTGCAATCCAAGTGTTTGAACTGTTTGAAGTTTTATTTTAATTGCAAGGCTATTGGCTACCTGCCAGACTCCTATGGAAGGAGGTTGTCTGAAAACAAATAGAAAAATCAGTCACATGTACATACCACACAGTGCTGCTCGGGAAGGGGGTAACACAATGACCTTAAACTAAATTTTCCTGAATACTGGAAGCTCCTGCTGCTGTGTTACAAACTCTTCAGGAGCCTTGGAGAATTTCCAGTTAGGACTGCATTAAGTACAGTTTTGTGGTGCAGTTTCCTGGCCCCTCCAAGATTAAAGGCACAATCTTGACTGACATTCGTGCGCATTATTGAGGGAGCACTGCACTGGAGATGCTGTCGTTCTGATTTTTTTTTTTTTTTTTTTTTTGAAAAAAAGATTAAAAATTTAAGGCCTGAGCCTACCAGAATTTAAAACAAAAATCAATTCAAAGCATTCTCCCAGTGTGCTGGCCAATATTATACCTCAAAGACTAAACACAGACTATGTAGTTGTAATGTATAACATTTGTTTAAGTTTGCAATCCATAAATTGGTTGCTATGTTTACCTTCAGTGACTGTATTTCATTAATTGTGAAGCACTGATGGATTTGATGAAAAAAAAAAGTGCAAAATGTCAGTTTCACTTCACTCCTTTTATTGGTCTAGACTATATTTGAACTCTGGTCCCAAAAGTGTCTAAAGATTAGCTCCAGGCAATGTATAATCCATCATTTACTAACCAAAATACACCTGGGCGATGACTCTACAGCTGACAAACCAGGCATGATTTAAGTGTTACTGATGGAAAAAATACACAATTGTAAAAAATTATTTAATTTATTCAGATATTATTTCAAAACAAACCTTGAGATGATCAAGTGATGTAGAATCAGACACTGTCAATCAGTTCCAGTAATGAAATCTAAGTGCACTCAGAGATTGGCTTTATATTTACAAAAACTGTAACCAAGGCTGTCATTTACACAAAGTCACTCAGTCTTGATTTAAATTTAACTCCAAAAAGATTAAACAAACATGAGCACCCTAATGAATTGAGAAAATCATAGGATCATTTCAATCCTTTGTTATAGCTCATGCAGTTCTAGGCTCTGCTACTAATTGCAAAAAGAGTTTCTTTCAAACTGTCCTGCAACAAGCCATCTTCTACTGTTCTGAATTCAGATTATGTCTAATTTTATAAAATTGATCATAAAGTCACAGTCTCCAAACTTAAAACAAGATTCTCTCTGGCCCTGTTGACTTTTCTCCCATAGCATTATGGCAGTCGCATACAAAACATCCAAACAGTGTCACAATTTCCATATTGAAGATGTGCACTTTGAGATGATTAGATCTGGAAAAACTGAACAGCAGGTACACTCAGACATTCCACAAATACATGCAATGGGACAGTGATCTATCACACCCCATCTTAAAAAAAAGTGTTCATTTCTGGACGACATTTTGTGTTACTGCATCATTTCACCAGCAAAGATTGCTGTTCTTCACTGCCTTTTGCACCTTCTGGAAACACACGTACAATGTGGTAATTCCACAGAAATTGGAATTTTAAACTTTATTAAAAAATTATTTTTGATGAGCCAAAGTAACCTCCATTACATGTGATGCCAGCTTACCCACAGTGCACTGGAAGTGAGGGATAAGTGCCCTCCTTAGTGCTGACATATTACAGGGTGGTTACAACAGAAACCACTGGGTGGGGATGAGGAGGGAGAACTGCAAGAATTAAAACTGTCAAAGCACGATTCTTTCCTGTTCAACGTTTGTGAATACATGCTAACCCAAGTGCAAAAAGTATCTCAGTTGCATCGCAGCACTTTGATCATTTCCAAAACTAATTGCATCTCAAAACTAATTGAAACAAAAACAACCCTTTAAATTTGCCTTCTTCCAGCCCAATGATACTACCAAAATTTGTGATGTTAAATATTAACTATTCAAACACACCAAATAAATTCATCAGTTCTGCCTCCTGAATAAAAACAAATTGTAACAAACATTACAATTATTTAGCCTATTGAGACAAAAATGGTTTAGGTTGGGATCTGGAATATCATGTTAGTTTCCCATGGAGTTCCCTCTCTCAGCTGTTCAAACTTTTCCAAAGAATCCACCCAGATTACAAGTGTGCACCACCTAGTGTCCACTATGAGAACTACACAGTAAGGTCCAAGGGAATGAATGACACCATGGGCTAGGGGTGCAGGGGTCAAGAGAAAACAAATTAAAAAGTGTACTGGTCACTTCTATAAAAATGTCCAAACAACTCAACTCAATACTTCAATATCAAAAGGTTACTTGGATCAGTTCCTGAATTGTCTGTCCATACGAAGGTCTCAACAGTGAATTGAGAACGCTGTGTTAGATGTGTTTTGATAAGGAACAGAAGACAAACGAAGAGAGCTTTGACAGAGTTCATGAAGGAGACGGGCCTATTGTTGTCGGTTTGTCAATTTGTCAATTCTGTAGTTCAGACACTTTTCACAACACATAGGGTGGATCTCAAAACAGGCAGATGTTAGTGTTCATCAGCAAAAAGCAAAGTGAATTTGTTTTTAAGTAACAGCTCCCAATCCATCCTCAGCGATGTAGCTACCTGCTACCTGGCTTTGGGCAACTTGTTCCTTTCAGTTGATTTACTTTTCATCCCATTTGTCATTTTACTTAGCACACCATTGTGATTGGATGATGCAGACTTTGTTTTCATTCTCTCATCTTCCTCCTCCTCTTCCTCTGTCCCATCACTTTCATCATCACTCCTTTCATCCTTATCAATCTAGAAGAGATACAAAAGATTACCAAAACTTTCCAGAGGGAGATTATACACTTTCAGACTCCATCACCTGGGCTAATTGTACAAGATACCAACCTGTACCCAATACCCTTCTTCCACAATCTTTCTGGAATGTCTACACCATACTTTTATAGTCTTCTATTTCCACCCTGAAAATGTCCCAGCCTCATCTCAGGAGGGAAATAGAACAGTGGAGTGGAGAGCAGACATTCCTACCACTCTCCTCTTTCAGCAGGAGAATGGTCTGTTCCTTCCAACGGGGTAACATTGTGTACAGAACATGAAGTAGTGCTTGACTAAGAACAAATCTTTCAGCTCTGTGATACAACCTGTAATTTGCGAGAATCTTAAAATCTCAAGAACAACCTGTTGATCTAAAGGAAAAGATTCCTTGGAACCCTGCAAAGTTGACTGTGGTCAGCTCAGAGTACAACGGTCAAAAGCAAGCCAAGTTCAGGTACCAGTTCATTACTCTTAGTTTTATCATTGAATAGGAGGGTATCATTTAGATAGTTGTAAGATCAGGAGTGTGAAAAAATTCAGAATGGGAAGTGGATATAAATCACTCCTATAACAACAGGAATACCTCTGAACAGTACAAGCTCAGCTTATCAGCCTTAAATCCAGTGGAACAAAATGTGCTGGAAATACACTGGACCTCCAGAGTTACAAAAAGAAAAGGCAGGTGGACATTGAGTACCAAGTTGTTCATGATGCATGCACAAAAACCATTTTCTGCTATAGTGCCTGTGGACTTTAGTTCATTTCATGCAGGAGTGGATACCTGATATTTGCCATTAAGTGGTATCAATTCACTTAGAGGAGGATGACAAAAATGATGTACTAGGGACGGTCTAGCATTTGGAAATGTATTTTTTAAAAAAAAAGTGGTGAAGGTGGTACAAGATGGAGTAGCAAAATAAAAATCAGCATGGCATTGCATGCAATGTCAAGTTTTAAAAAATTGATTAAGGACACCTAAATCTTAATTAGCCACCTTCCCTGGCATTAAGATTCTAAATGAGAGCACGTCCTGACTCTATTCATAAGTTACCATTTTCTGTCAAAGTTGCCATGATAACTCTCACTGGGGCCTTATTGATCTGTGGTTACACAGCGATTGGCTATAACACCAACGAGGAGGATCTGAAAGTTTGGGCAGTTACTGGATCATCTAACCCATTGTGAATCTGCGACAACGCTTTGAGTACAGGATCAAACTCCTTTTCCAAATGATGATTCAAGTTGGTGTGCGCAGCTCAGTCCAGTGAGTGGAGTTCACGATCTTGTTATGAAACTAACCCAAGTCAATTTACCAGCCCCAGTTGTGTTGCTTGCGCCCTTAAAGTCTGTTCTTCATAGATCTCTTATACATTTCACATGAAACACATCCTTACCTTACCAATAAATATGAACTTGGCTACCATTCGCAGAATGAGATAGGCCCAAAATATATGCAACAGCTGCAGGACCATCAGGAGAATATTGAAAAAATAGTAACCAAAGAAGGGCTGGAAAATCTCCATGGAGTGGTAGAAGGTGGTGTGAATTACCCTGTAAACAATAGTTTAAAACAGTTAGCAAAGACAGATGGGCAGCAGGGAAAGAAAGTGTCAAACAAGCAAAGAGATTGAGACATCCAACTCACATCTGTTGGGTCATGATTCACAGGCATAACATTCAGTTCAGTCTCACCATAAAAACTGCACTTCTTTAATGACAGAATGTGAAGGTCTCTTTATTCAAAGGAGATTGTTTAGGGAGGGAGATTAAAAAGTGGCTGCATGGATTCGGTAGAGCCAAACCTGCACAGAAGAGGTGTATCTGGATATGCTGCAGTGAGTGCTACATAGCTCAGAGTTAACGTCTGCAGTTCCCAATTAAATTCTATTCTCACGTGGCGTGGTATTAAAGGGAGAAAGAGAATTAAGAACCAGACACCTAATCACTCTGAACTATGTTGTAAACTGATAGCTGTTCCCAAATACTACTGTTTCATTAACATTTACTTGTCTAACCTCTATTTGATAAATTTGTCAACTAAACAGTTTCCAAAGATATCCACCACCTATAAAACACAGATACGTGATATTAAGGAGGAGCAAATTACTGCAGATGCTGGAGTCAGAACGGAAAACAAAGTGCTGGAGATCACAGGTCAGGCAGCATCCATGGAGAGAAAGCAAGCTAACGTTTCAAGTCTAGATGACTCTTCTTCAGAGCTGAAGTGAAGTGGGCAGCATTTATGCAATAGTGGGTGGGGTGGGGGGGCGGTGGCGGAAGTAGGTGTGTGGCTGATTGGAGTGCTGGGGGAGAAAGAATGTTAATAGTTCAGATTAAGTGATCAGAAAGTGAGAAAGGCAGAACAATGGTGTGGCTCAGTGGTTAGCACTGCTGCCTCAAAGCACTAGGGACCCGGGTTCGATTCCACCCTTGGGCGGCTGTCTGTGTGGAGTTTGCACATTCTCCGTGTCTGTGTGGGTTTCCTGCGAGGGCGAGGGCGAGGGTGAGGCCGAGATGTTGATAGGTGGATGCAGGTAGGGGGTTATTACAATTGGTCAGTGGGAAGGGTGGAGCAGATACGTGAATAGGAAGATAGGCAGGTCAGGAAGGGGGAAGGGGGTGGAGGAGGGCTGGACAGATTTTGAAGCTGGTGAAGTCAATGTTAAAGCCGCTGGGCTGTAAGCTCCCAAGGCGAAATATCAATTTGTTGTTCCTCCAGTTTACATGTGGCGTCACTGGCAGTGCAAGAGGCCAATGACGAACATATCTTCAGGGGAGTGGGAGGGGGGATTAAAACGGATGGCAACTGGAAGGTCAGGTTGATTGATGCATGTAGAGCACAGATGCTCTGCGAACCAGTCCCCGAGCCTGCATTTGGTCTCCCCAATATAGAGGGGACCACATTGGGAGCAATGAATCCAATAGATCAGGTTGGATGAAGTGCAGGTGAATCTCTGCCGGATCTGGAAGGATTTTTTGGGGCCTTGGACGGTGAGAAAGGGGAGGTGTGGGGACAGGTTTTGCAGGGAAAGGTACTGAGTTGTGGCAGAAGAACTGGTGGGGAGTGTACAGCTGATGAGGGAGTCATGAATGAATGCAGAAAGTGGACAGGGTGGAGAGGGAAATATCTTTTTGGTGGTGGGGTCCGATTGTAGGTGGCGGAAATGTCCAAGGATGATGCATTGGATTCGGAGGTTGGTGGGGTGGTACGTGAGGACTAAGGTGACTATCCTTATTGTTGAGGCTCTTGAGGGCAGAAGTGCAGGAAATGGAGGAGATGCGATTGAGGGCATCCTTAATTACAGAGGAGAAATTATAGACCCTAAACTAGGAGGATATCTGCGATCTCCTGGAGCGGAACAGCTCAACCTGGCGGCAGACATGGTGGAGGTGGAGGAATTGAGAATATGGGATAGCATTTTTACAGGGGGGTGGGTGAGAGGAAGTATAGTCAGGGTAGCTATGGGAGTCAATGGGTTTGAAATGGATGTCAGTGGTGAGTTGGTTTCCAGAAATGGAGACGGAGAGGTCGAGGTCCAGGAAGGGGAGGGAGGTGGTGTTAGAAATGGTCCAGGTGAATTTGAGAGTGGGGTGGAAAGTGTTGGCAAAGTTGATGAACTGCTTGAGCTCCTTGAGACAGTGTGAGGCTGCACCGATGCAGTCATCAACACAATGAGGAAGAGTTAGGGGTTGGTACTGGTATAGTTATGGAAGAGGGACCATTCCATGAATCCTACGAAGAGGCAGGCATAGCTCGGCCCATGGGTTGCCCATGGCCCCCACTTTGGTTTGTAGGAAGTGGGAGGAATTAAAGGGAGAAATTGTTGAGAGTGAGGACGAGTTCAGCCAAGCAAATAAGTGTGTCGGTGGAGGGGGACTGGTTGGGCCTATGGGACAGAGAGGTAGAGGGCTTTTAAGCCCTCTGTGTGGGGGCTACAGGTGTACAGGGACTGTATGTCCATGGTGAAGATGAGATGTTGGGGCCAGGGAATTGAAAATCTTGGAAAAGGTGGAGGGCATAGGTTGTGTCACGAATGTAAAGAGGGAGTTCCTGGACCAAAGGGGAAATAATAGAGTTGAGGTAGGAGGAGATGAGCTCTGTGGGGCAGGAGCAATGTGTTGACCAGGGCAGTGAGATTTATAGATTTTGGGTAGGAAATAGAAATGGGCGGTTCGGGTTTGGAGGCTGTGGATGGGAGATCTCCCAAAGCGATGAGGTTGTTAATGGTCTGGGAGATGATAGCTCAGTGATCAGAGGTGGGGTCATGATTGAGGGGATGGTAGGAGGCGACGTCAAAGAGTTGGCCTCTAGCCTCAGCGATGTGGAAGTCAGTTTGCCATACTCCCATCGCGCACCCCTTTAAATAGTGAGGGTGGGGTTGGAACGAAGGGAGTAGAGGGTTACATGTTCCCATAGGGAAAGGTTGGAATAAGTGAGAGGGGTGGAGAGATCCAAGAGATTGATGTGGCAGCAGCTGGATGCTGCCTAACCTGCTGTGATCTCCAACAGGTTGAATTAAGGCAAAAAAACAACTTTCCCTAGCAGCACTTTTGCTCTCAAAGTCTGTAGCACCCGTAGAGTAAATATTAATATTGCATAAAGGGGCTTTTTCCCCCTAGCTGTGGCATGGTGGCTCAGTGGTTAGCACTGTTGTCTCACAACCAGGGACCCAGGGTTCGATTCCAGTCGCAGGCGACTGTCTGCGTGGATTTCCTCCCACAGTCCAAAGATGTGCAGTTTAGGTGGATTGGCCATGCTAAATTGTCCAGCGTCTAGGTGGGGGGGTCTTTAGAGGATCAGTGTGGACTCAATGGGCCAAATGACCTGCTTCCACACTGTAGGGATTCTATGGTTCTATTCTATAAACAATGCCGAAGTAGTTGCTCTAACATCAAGGGACTGATGGTGGCATCACTGAGCTATCCTATGTCATTGCATTCTACAGCAGCCCTTGTGGGACTTCAGTGCTACTGAAGCCTCAGCAAAGGAGTAACCTACATCCTCCTCCTACCCCAACTAATATCAAAGGCTGTAAATGAGCAGCATTGGCATCTCTGCTGAAAAAGGTCCTTTACCTAAAGCATCAACTCCGTCCTTCTCTCCACAGCTGCTGCCATGCCTATTTAGTATTTCTCATGCTTTGGTTTTATCCCATATTTTTGTTCATCTTTCAAGATGCAGTCTTTTCAGAGAAACAGCAAATTAGTATTTGGTGGTTTATTATTGATTTGTGCTTCAATTTGAGTTTGTTCTTAAATGCAGTTATCTCCAACATTGGCTTATTGCTCAGTAGGATTGGTCAACTGAGACAGTTTTCTGCATTGTACTTAACCTGACCCTGAATGTCAGTCAGAAGTGTTAATCTTATCTTCTAGGCTCTGAACCCAATTGTGTTGCATCCTGGCCACTGACCAAGTAATTTCTAGCAAGAAGGTACCTGCAGGTAGCAGAGGTCAGCATTAAGCATCTATTATTCTAGATTGCTACACAATGGGTCGAATACCTCATTCTGAATTTGTAAGACAATATTTCAGAGTTCTGAAGAAGGTCATGTCTAGTATCCCATACGGTGATAGATTATCAGTTTGGTTTTGTAGAAGAGTTTCTTATCTCAAATGATGAGAGATCCTTTGTGGACACTCTGAACCCTGGTTGACAATCCCAAATTACCCAACATGAAAACACACCACAGGCTAAGCAAAGGAATACTCACACATTTGGAAAGATGATAAGTCGTGTAATTAGAAAGACCACAGCAAAGACCGCAAACAGCACATCACAACTCCTGCGCCATCCTGCATAATTCAACATTTTTGCACACTGCAAATTAAAGAAAAGAATGAATTAATTGAAAGCAGTCCTCAAACTCTTAAGGGCATTTAGGGATGAATTAAAAAAAAAATCTAGCTTAGCCAGTGAAGCCCACTTTGTGTGATTGAGGAAAAGAAGGTGATTTATTTCTTCATTGTTAAGGCCATTCTTCCAGTCTGCCAGTTTGATATTTGGCAGACTGGTCTTCAGTCCCAACAACAAACTATTCCTCAGTCACTGACTGCACCCCCCTCCCTGTCCAACATCCGAGACAGAACTCAGTGTAATGTCGGTTTGACCCAGACAGGAGTTATACATCCTCTTTGTTATCAAGGCCACTTGGTAATGAAGAGAACAAAAGAGAACAAAGGCCTAGGGGTACAGGTTCATTGTTCCTCGAGCGTGGACTCACAGGTAGACGGGGTGGCAAAGGCAGGTTTCAGCGTGCTTGCTTTCATTGGTCAGAGCATCGAATATAGACGTTGGGCCGTCTTGTTGCAGCTGTACAAGACATTGGGAAGGCCACATTTGAGGTACTGTATGCACTTCTGGTCGGCCCATTATAGAAAGGATATTATTAAACTAGAAAAAAAAAGTGCAGAAAAGATTTACTAGGATGCTCTCTGGCTGGAAACAGCGAGTCATAAGGGGAGACTGGGACTTTCTTTGCCTGGGACATAGGAGACCTAGGGGTGACCTTAGAGAAGTCTATAAAATCAAGACTGGTATAAATAAGGTAGCCATAGTAGGGGAGTCTAAAACTAGAGGGCATGGTTTAAGGTGAGAGGGGAGAGATACAAAAGGGTTCAGAGGGCAATTTTCTCTGCAGAGGGTGGCAAGTGTCTCAACTGGGCTGTTGAAAGTGGTGGTGGGGAGTACAATTTTAATCATTTAAGCAACATTTGGAAGGGTGCATGGACGGGAGAGGTGTGGAGGGATATGGACCAAACCGCAGGTAAAATGGGACTAGATGATGAAATGGAACTGGGCAGCACAGACAAGTTGGGCTGAAGTGCCTGTTTCCATGCTCAGATTCTATGACACTTACTTCCACCTCAGTGACCTCATTCATTTTTGCTTCACCTCAGCTCACCGACTGCTGCAAAACCCTTCAGATAACTATCCAGACGTCTTCCTGGCCAGCTTTCCACTCTCCTTTATCCAAACTCTGCTACTTGCATCCCAACTTGCACTGGGCTGATGGGTGAATGGGATCCAGTGCTCGCTAAACTAAACTGGCTCCCAGTCTGATAATAACTTACCTACCAGCACTTAGATTTAAACACAAGGATAAGAATTTCAAAGATCAATCCATGGTCTTAACGCTCCCCATTTCTATGGCCCTCCATCCAGCACACTATCCTCCAAGATCTCCCTGCTGCTCCAATTTCATCCTCTCGTATGTTAGATCTTGTTGGTTCTACCAGGTGGAGATTGTGCTTTCAGCCGAGAGCACAAAGATCTGGTGTTTTCTCACTAAATCACTCTGCCTGTCTACGCCAGTCCCAATTTAAGACACCCCTTTAAAATTTCTTCCTTGACCAGAATTTTGATCACTCGTGTAAATCTCCGACTGTCAAATGGTGTCATTAAAAATCTTCTAAAGCATCCGCAGGGTGTTTAACTATATTAAACGCACCACATCAATGCACAGTTGGTAACACACAGCTGGTCAGGATGTCAGCCTCCTTGACATTAGGCCTCACCTGTTGAGGCTCCGAACGACCCCATCACATATCTGAAAATTCTAGACACAAGATCTATGTTTTAATCAATCAGTTCTCATTGCTGGCCTCTTGGATGTTACAAAACTAGTGATTTCTGGTGACAATTGAGAGCTGAGAAACAGCAAGTATTGAGCACTGCACGGGGAGACATGGGTATGTGCAAACTGTGGCGACCTCCTACAACAAACCCACCCTTGGGATCAGCCAATCCAGCACAAACTGATGATCCTACCAGTCACTTTCCAGATAAATTGACTTGTAAGAGACAAGAACATTAGAACGAGGAGGAGTGGGCCAATCAGCCCTTCAAGCCTGCTGCTCCATTAATATGATCATGGCTGATCTCTTCTCAGCTTCAACTCGACTTTCCTGCCCAGTCCCCATAATATTCGGTCACTTTTTATTTTAAAAAAGTCTCTCTCCTTAAATTTACTCAATATCATGGCATCCACTGTACTCTGGTGTAGTGAATTCCACAAATTCACAATACTCTAGAAGTAATTTCTCATTTTCATTAGAAACCTGCTACCCCTCATTCTAAAAACATCCTCTCTACGTCTACTTTGTCAATCCCCTTTAGCATCTTTTATGCTTCAACTAGATCTATTTTCATTCTTTCAAATTCCAGAGTGTAGGCCTAAATTCTCAATCTCTGTTCATAAGACAAACCCCTCACCTCAGCAATCTCGTGAACCTCCTCTGAACTGCCTCCAATGCAATCACAACCCTTCAAAGGGGATCAAAACTGTAAACTATTCTACAGGTTTGGTCTCTCTAATGCATTGTACAGAACCAACACATCCCCACTTTTCTACTCTATTCCTTTAGTAATAAATGCCAACGTTCCATTGGTGGTTCATTAATCCACAAAAGGAAGCAGGAAGCTTGAACAGGACATTTGCCCACACATTCATTCGGATAGGTCAAAAGCTCACCTCCATAATGTAGTCTGATGCATCATGGACAAGCATCACCAGGGTTCCCACCCGAATATAGTTTGCACAGTAGGAGAAGCCAATCAGAAAGATTGTTGCAATGTGATGAACAATCTGCTCCTTGAAGTCCTGCAACAGAAATTTAAATTTGAACCAACCAAGCACACACATGGATCATAAAATCAAGTTAAAAGCAGTCCGTTGCCTTCGCCAAATGATTATCTCAGACTCATCAGGTTGACAGTCTCTCCTGACAACCAAGATCAGCCATCCCTAGAGTATGGACATTTCCCACAACTTCTGAATGCTCCTTTACCAGCACATTATCCAAACACATTTGAACTAATTTTCAATTTTAAGAAAAAAAAGGTGGGAAATACTGATACATTCAGGTCTTGCAGCAGCCATGGAGGGAGAAGCAGAGTGAGCAGTTCAGGCCAAAGACTGTTTATCAGATCCTTGTGAAACTGCTCACAAAAGGTAAAGCAAAATGAACAGGAGCAATTTCTCATTTGGTACAGCTGCTAACATGGAATTAGAGTTTATTTTTAAGCCCACATTTATATTAATGCCTAACCACAGGGGCATGTCATACATAAGATTACATGCCCAGTCTGACCTACGAGACTCCAAATCCCCAGACAGCAACACGGTACACCTAACTTGCTAGGTATTTCAAACAGTTACAAAGTCTGAAAAAAGAAATGAAAGTGGATGAGCACAGAAATCAGAAATGTCAGCGATGCACATAGCCCTGTCAACTCTGCATAGTTGTCCCTGCTAACATCAGGGATATCTTAACGTTTTGTTCCTAACTTGGGAAAACTGTCTCTCAAACTAGTCAAGCAATAGCCCAGAGTGTGACTGTGGCAGAGACAACACTGTACCATCCCTAGCTAGGTCCTGCCCCACTGATCAGACAGATCAACCAGTGGCAACATGGTGTATGGGCAGGAGGGAGTTGCCTTTGGAAACCTGCAACATGAACTCCTGCCCTACACCACCAGGTTAAACAAGAACAAGCCACCATCCACACCTCCCCACCCTCCACAGCCTTTATACTCCAGAACTAGCCGTGCCCCTGGCTACATTGACATCTATCCAGCAATGCACAAGATTGTCCAAGTGTGTACTGTTCTTAAGAAGTAGAAATTCCAATACGGCCAATTACTACCCCATCAGTTTACTTTCAAATCTGATGGAAGGTTTCACCAGTGGTATCAACATGCACTTAACAATAAACTGATCACTGGCATTCACTGTGTTCTGCCAGAGCTGCGCAGCTCCTGATGTTATAACAGCACAAGTCCAGAGACATATTTCACTGATCCTAGCGCTAAAGAAAGGGAGCTGTGGTTGTTGGCTGTCAGCTCAGCTCTAGGACATTACTTGGAGGTCGTCCTCCAGTGGGGTCCTCAGCCCAAACATGTTCAGTTGCTCCAATGGCCTTCCCTCTGTCATAAAAAACGTTTAAGTGGGGATGTTCATCGATGATTGCACAATGTTTATCACCATTTGGGACTCCTCCGATACTGAACAAAGAACAGTACAAGCACAGGAACAGGCTCTTTGACCAATTAAAACTCCACTAACATGATACTTTTAACTAAAAGTCTTTTGTCTCTCCACAGTCTGTATCCCTCCATTCCCTGCCTATTCATGTATCTGTCAAGATGCCTCTTAAGCGTTGCTATTATATCCGCCCCCACTACCTCCTCAGGCACTTACCACCTTCTTTCTAAAAAAAAAACTTGCCTCATCTCGTTTAAACTTACCCACTTTTACTTTAAACCCATATAATTGAAACTTCTATCCTGGGAAAAAGACTCCGACTATCCATTCTATCTATGCCTTTCAGATGTTTACAAAATTTGAGGTCAGCCCCTCATCCATTGACGCTCAAGTGAAAACAAACCACATTTGGCCAATCTCTCTTCATAGAGAATACCCTCCAAACCAGGCAACATCCTGATAAACTGTATCTGTACCCTCTCCAAAGCCTCCACATCCTTCTCGTAAGTGTGGCGACCAGAACTGTACACAATATTTCAAATGTGGCCTAACATTTTGTACAGCTGCAAAATGACTTGCTAATCTTTATATTCTATGCCCCAACCAAGCATGCCCTATGCCTCCTTCTTGACCACCTTATCCATTTGTGTTGCCACTTTCAGGGAACTGTGGAACTGTACACCTAAACACCTCTGGATGTTGATGCTGGTAAAGATTCTGCCATTTACTATACACTTCTCTTCTGCATTACATCTTCCCAAAAAGAAAAATGCATTACCTCACTTGTCCAGATTAATTTCCATCTACCATTTCTCCTCCCAAGGCTCCAGCCTATCTACAGTCTACATTATCTTGGCAATCCTCCTCACCATCTGCACCTCGCCTAATCTTGGGGTCATCTGCAAACATACTAATCAGGCCACCTACATTCTCCTCCAAATCATTTATGTATAGATTACAAGCACCAGGAGTCCCAGCACTGATCCTTGCAGAACACCACTGGTCACAGACCTCCGGTCAGGAACAGTCAATATCCAGGCTTGGGCCAACTGAGTATCTGTGGCACAAATGTCACTTGCACCACAGAATTGCTGGCCCGTGATTATTCCCAACGAGACAGAATCCAACAATCACCTCAACATTCAAAGACATTAGTACTGCTGATTTCCCCACTTTCAATTACCATTCACCAGAAAGTGAACTGGAGCAGCTATATAAATACTGTGACTGCAGGAGCAGGTCAGTCACTGGGAATTCTGTGGCAAGTACCTCCTGACTCAAACCTGTGTTATCTACAAGGCAGAAGTCAGGCATGTGATGGAATACTCTGCATTTGCCTGGTTGAGCACAGTGCCAAAAAAAAAAAAAAACACCATCCATGACAAAGCAGCCACTCAAATAGCACTCCAACTAACCCCTTCAACATTCATTCGCTTCACTACTGCCGGTAGCGGTGGTGAAGTGGCTCAGTGGTTAGCAGTGAGACTGCAGTGCACCAGGGACCCGGGTTTGATTCCAGCTTCAAACAACTGAGTGCGGAGTTTGCACTTTCTCCCTGTGGGTTTCCTCCAGGTGCTCCAGTTTCCTCCCACAGTCCAAAGATGTGCAGGTTAGGTGTATGAGCAGTTTAGCGTTGCCGATTGTGTCCAGGGATGTGTAGTTTAGGTGATTAGCCACAGGAAATGCAGGGCTGCAGGGATAGGGCAGGTCTGGGTGGGATGCTGCTCACAGGGTCAGCATGGACTAAATGGGCTGAATAGTCTAAGTCCACACTGTATGGATTGTGATTCTAGTGTGCAAGATGCATGGCAACAACTCACCAGGGTCCTTTAGATAGCATTCTTCCAAATAGCATCCACTACACTTAGAAGGACAAGAGCAGATACATGGGAACACCACTATCTGCAAGTTCCCCTTCAAGCCACACACCATCCTGACTTGGAGTGATGTTGCCATTCTGTCACAGTCACAGAGTCAAAAATCCTAAAACTCTCCTCTTAGCATGTATCTATACCAAGTTCAGCTATTGGCCATGCAATAAATATTGCAGAGTATTGATGATAGCCACAAGTGCAAGATTCAGAAGTATATCTAGCTCTGAATTCTTTTATCAAGCCTGTCAAGTAGCCACAAACCCCTTTATCAATAGCTCATCCCACAGGAGCTGCCTTAAATATCTTGGAGTGATGAGAATTATGGGGTTTGAAGCCTCTGGGATAATAAATGCAAGATCAAGTGCAACGTAAAAATGGTTCAGACTTCAGGAAGTGTAACACCAGGTTATATTGACCGCACTGTCCAAGGTAAGGGCGAAACTTTGTTCCAGTTGCGGACTCAATTCTGTGTGTAATGTGATGCTGAATTGGGATATTGGAAAGGTCATCTCATTCCATTAGTAATTCCTCAGGTTTTCTTTTGGAAGGGAATGTTTGGAATGAGTTGCTATAGAACAAAAAAAAAGTGTTGATAAACCATAGTAACCGTTTGTCACAAAAGTAACTCAAAACTTTTGGGTTCTTTCCCTCTAGGTCATAGATAAAAGTCACATGTAGAGACAATGGGATGATAAGTAATTATCCCTCAATCACAGATCCTGTTCAAGGTCATCAAATTAAGTCTATAAATAAAGCCCATGAATCGACCATTTACACAAAGCACACCAATCTTATTACCATTGCATGGAGCAAGCCAGTGGATAGCACTCCTCTCAATACCCCCTAGTCTCCAAAATATCAAACTGTTCGGCCAACTAACATCAAGTCCTGCATGAACAGATCGCTTCCTCTAATTATTCCTTGCCAGATTCCATCAAGACCCATTAACCAGATCCTGTAGGGAACTCCACTCTCTGCTGGGCTTAGGCTGAGGCTGAGGCTGGTGGTTGTGAGGCAGGGCCAGGAGCAGCACAATCTTTGCCTCTGCCTTGGGTTATCTTATTACATTAAGGAGACTGTATAATACAAAGTGTGATTGTTGTTGATGAGACGTTACCTGTTGTTGATCAGGAATAGATCAGGAAGTCACTTACTTTCCTCTTCACATCCCACGAGACTCTGAAGACAAGGGACCAGTAGAAAGCCAGTTCTATCATGTAGTACCAGTATTGGGAGGGCAGCAACACCTGAAACAGAACAATAACTTGGGAAAGCATAAAAAGTGGATCTAAAAAAACAGAAACCAATAAGATGACAGCATGAAAAACAGCACAATAAAATATTTTCTATCAACAGCATGCAAATAAGAAAACAAAATTAGACTAAATACAAAAATTGGGCTTGATCCCCTAAAAGGAGAAAGTAATCAATTAGAAAGCAATGACCAACTTGGATTGCCGTATGATTGAGCAGCACAGGGATGAAGCAGGAATTATGGGGTTTTCATGTTTTTCTGTTTAACGGATTAGATGATAGATTGGAGAGCTAGAGACATCTCAACTCCTCCAAATAGTTATGACACAAGCAGTAACCAGTCAGCCTGTTAAATCCATGTCAGCCCTCCATTGCATGAATCCAAATTAGTCCCATTCCCTCACCAGATCCCTGTACTTCTGCAAGTTGGTTTGTGCCCAATTTCCTTTTTGAAGTCATTGATTGTCCCTCTCCTCCCACCACGCTCCAGAGCGCTCCAAATCATGATCATCCACTTTCCTTCATTCACAGCATTCTCAAATAATTCCAGTTTTGCACTCCTTAACCTTTCTGGACTCCAATCTCAATCCCTCTGAGCAGGGGGCACATTCTCCTTACAGTAGCTATTGTTTTAAATCAAGGTGAGCTGGAATGAGCCAGACAGTGTGCCAGTCTATTTCCATGAAATAGGACATAGATCTGGGTTGTCGCTATCATTAATTTATTCTGACCATCCCACAAACAGTTCTTTAGAATTTCAATTGCTATGGTGATCAAAATTAACGATCTGTACATTATTGCTCCTTTTAAAGGAATCAGACCAGACCCATAACCTTTTGGTACAGCTGCAATCACCTCAGACACTAAAGAGCCTCATTTTCTCCAGTCTTCACCATAATTCAACTTTTTGAAGTCAGGTGGTCATCTTTGTGACTCTGTACCACCTCTGCATTTTAATCAGTCAGTCACCGAGACAGACAGAGTATACATTGTACTCAAGAATCAAGATGCAGTGCAATTAGCACAGCGCAAGCTCAACATTCACCAACTTACGCAATATGGATCAACAATACGAACTGAACACACTGAGAACATTGCCAGGGATGAGCTGTCCCTAGAGGGGTGGACCAGCTTAAACATGACTCCTTGTATTGAACTATTTACTTTGGAAATACAGGCAGTACATACTTGCTGAGGGTATCCTTTCCAGCATTCCTTTTGATCCCAAAACCACGGTTTCTGTGAATAAAAGACAACATTATTGCTATAATTGACTACTAGATTGAAAAGTTGGACAGAGGAAATGTTGATAAATAGAAATGGTTAGAGTCAGTTATGGGCAGAGGGGTGGTGGTAAAGGGTTGACAGATTTAAGTGAGCAAAATGGCTCATTTCCACGTTGCAACTTCTGGGAATTTCTATAATCAGTTCTGGATGTCTCATCACAGCCACACCTTTTACTTTGATGGACACCTTCCTGCTCAATGATCTAGCAATTGAAGTACAAGAACCTGCTACAGCCAACTCGGCTCATGCTTGAAGATTCCTTTCACAATATGGCGTTGCACGTGATTACGCAAAAACAATACACCCTCTAATCATCTTCCCTGCTGTGCAGCCAAATTGTTCAACCAAGCAAGATGGAGACTTGTACTAGAGTCAAATGTCATGATTTCATCTAGCAGTCTTGGAGATCTGTGCAATAATTCAACACCCCATTTTTCCCCTTTGAAAAATAGGAAACCTGTACTGATGATAATGTAAAATTGTTACATTATCTTTTTACATGAAAAAAGACTTTGGGAAGATGTACAACATGACTGGATCTAGATCTTGTACAATTATCATGACATAGCTGCGTAGCTTCACACATTGTGGATAGATACATACCATGTGTTATAAATATCTGGTAATACTTCCAATAAAATCATTTTGCATGACAGATCGTTGGCTACATGCAACTGCAAAGTGTTAGAGAGTCAGAGTCATACAGCACGAAAACACACCCTTTGGTCCAACCAGTCCATGCCGATCATCATCCCAAACTAAACTGGTGCCACCTGCCTGAACTTAGCCCCTTTCCTCCAAACTTTTCTTATTCGTGTACATGTCCAAATATCTTTTAAATGTTGGATTTGCATCCATCGCTTCCCCTGGAAGTTCATTCCACACATGAACTACTGTGTTAAAAAAAAAAGTCACCCCTCATGTCCTTTTAGAAATCTTTCTCCTGTCACCTTAAAAATATGCACCCTAGTCTTGAAATCCCTATCATAGGGGAAAGACACCTGCCATTAACCTCATCCATGCTCTTTGTGATTTTATAAACTTCCATAAATTAACCTTCAACCTCTTACGCTCCAGTCAAAAAAGTCCCAGCCTATCCCTATAACTCAAATGTTCCATACCCGGCAACATCCTGGTAAATTTTTTTTGAACCCTCTCTTGTTTAATAATATCCTTCCTATAACATGGCAACCAGAACTGGACACAGTACTCCAGAAGAGGCTTCAGAAATGTCCTGTACAACCTCACCATGACATCCCAACTCATATACTCAAAAGGAGTGAGCAATGAAGGCAAGTGTATAAATGCCTTAACTGTCCTGTATACATGTGCTTTCTGTTCCATTGTAGTATGAGACTATGGTTTGTGACAATATCGTAATAAAGTGGGCCAGACATGTCATAGCATCCTTCCACAGATTCAAGTACTCATATAAAGATAGCAACCCTTGGTGCTTGTCCTAGTTCAACTTGGGATAATTGTCTGATCTTGTACCATTTTCTCCCTCCATTCCAACAATGCGTGGTGTACATGAGGCAGATTGGTAAGCCTTGGAAGACAAGATGTTTCAAGGCAGACAGTGCCAGTAAAACCGTATTCGTTAGACAAAATCACAGGAAGTGTGATTTTCTTTCTAAAAAAACTATACAAATTGGAGGAGAAAAATCTACAAAAATCACTGCACTCAAATCATTTGCCATGTTAAATAACTATTATCCTTGCTCACAGAAACAGACATTAAACATAGTTAGCTTTATCTAAGCTTAAAGCAAGACATCTGTTATCTAGCTACCAATTAGAACTTTGAGCTGAAGTACAGGCTGTTAAAAACTATAGTAAAACAAACATGATAAAATGCTTCAAGTTCCAAACAGCAGTACTATAAGCCTGTGACTTTCTTCTTGAACATTCGGCATTTCACTGGGACACAGCTGACTGTCCAGCTTTGTCACACTACATAAATAACCATCAGAAGTCATCTCGGTCTCCATAGCGATTCGAACACAAGAAGGGGGTGCAAGGGCAGAATTGGGAATTGCCTGCCAAGCCCTTGCAAGCTTGGGCCTCTTTCCAATAATGCTACCAAACAGGAGGATTTATACTTACATCAAGGAGCACACAGAGACCAGCAATAAAAGCAAGCAGGTAAAACGCAAACCTCCAACTGCAACACAAAAACAATGTTAAGTGATTTCAGGCTGGGGCTCAGAAGCACGAGAAGTCAGAGCTAACAAAGCAGAAGGAAAAGCCCATTTGCTTGGTGTTAAAGTTGTGCAAACAAGCATTAAGCAGAGTTTCGCTGCCCTGATTGCACAAGAGTCATTATCTTGATAAGATAATCTGGGATGTAATACAAAGACTGAATTTGGTTACTTCTCTCACTTGAATCTCAACAAAGATTATGGTTACTGATAATGTATCAGAAAAGAAAGCTACAATAAACTCACTCCAACGATTCCCTCTCACTCACCCTTTTCTATCCTTGCCAACTCACTGCCCAATCCATTCCAATTTGAGGATTGAGATCACAGATTGTCAATCTTCCTATGAATTCAGATGCCCACGAGCCCTGTCATTTTTCATCTTTCCAAATGGATATGTCAAGCGATATTATTAAAATTAAGTGATACATGGAGGCTTCTCAGACCTGGGCTTGTGGTAGCATTGGGAGTTGTCCTTGGACCTGGTAGTTTTAGAGGGTTGAGGGGGGGGGGGGGGATGAATCTGGATACATGGCCAGAGACAATAACAGTTCAGTAGATAAAGAACAGAGGAGGAGAGATTGTTGAGGCAAGACATGGTTATTAAATAGGGGAGATAAACACACCTTAGGAGGATCAGCAAGGAGTACAATTCAGTGGAAAGAAAATAGGGAAGTAATTGGAAAATCAAATGATCAAATACAATATTTGAGTGTCCAGATAAATAAAGACTTTCAGACAAAGTGTTTTCAATTTTATAAAGAGACATTGAACCAAAGTGTGCATTAGAACTTCAAACAAGGAAATGGTTGTGGGATAGATTGTGTTGTGGAAAGTTTTGCATAGCTTTACTTAACAATGAAAATTAAAACCAACATCCATTCATTGGGATACCAGGAGATAGGATACTGGGACTGTCAACTGGAGATGAAGGAATTTCATTAAAACTCTTGTAACATTATGAAGAGGCTGGGTCAGGCTAAACAGGAGAATAAAATCCTCTCATTGTGGAATTAGAGGGTTAGTTGGGATCAATATTCCCAATCTCACCCAAGAGGCTACGGACCAAGGAGTGGTACCTGGAAATTTCAAAAGGTTTCATATTGTCTGAAACAAGTTTGTTTTACTTGGAGGCGGGCTCCCAGCAGTGGCAACTAGTCGAATGCTGTACTTAACAATGGATTGAAGTTTACCTGGTGGCACACAGACTCCTTCCTACCTCGGTGAGGCAGTGGGTCTGACTTCACAATGCAAGAGGCCATATGCAAAACATTCAAGCCTTTTATTCATCCGCTGAGTGTACCCAGCAGTGCCCAAGCAGAAAGCATCCCAGTGTAGCAACTTCACAGCAATGCAGTTCCTGCAAATGAAGTGCTTGCTGCAAATGATGCTGCCCCTCATGAGGCTAGCAATTACCAGAAAGGCAACCAGTTATCTTAACCGGAGACTGCCTTGCACAGACTTTCCAAAAATAGAACCTGGTCACCTTCCTCAAATTTGGAGGACTCGGTTTCATTTTAAAGCTAAAAACTGGCTGTCTCTGGGAAGATCATACCATGAGCTTCCACTGCTACTTCTAGGTTTTCTGCCCAGAAGAGAGTCTGCGCCACAGCTCGCCCAGAATCTTCCACCTAAAAAAGCTGTTGCAAAAACAGTTCATTGTCCCTGGACAGAGGGTAGTAAATAATGGGACCCTTGGCAACAGCGTACAAAGCAGTGGCTCCTGTTATTTTACTTCTAAGGCCAAATTAGACAAATTTAAGCACAGAATGATGGAGCTCAGACAGCAGAGAATTGGAATTCCTTCTGGATTACCCCAGCAGAATGCAGCATACATTTGAAGAACTAAACGACGTCTTGCTGTAATTAGTCTTTAGTGACAGGTGAATTACACCTCTCCTACCCTCACTCTGTGCAGTCAGGGACATGCAGATACACGCGACATTCACACATGCTGGATTGCCGGGGATAGTAGGAACTGCAGATGCTGGAGAATCTGAGATAACAAGGTGTAGAGCTGGATGAACACAGCAGGCCAAGCAGCATCAGAGGAGCAGGAAAGCTGACGTTTTGGGTCTAGACCCTTCTTCAGAAATGGGGGAGGGGAAGGGGGTTCTGAAAT